GATGTTTACCAACGTTTCAGAGGTCACACTGCCTCCGTCATCAGGGTGATGAATTCATCTACACGGCGCAACAACACAGAAGACGGAAATCTTCGAATTTAACGTGGTTTTTGAAATCTTCTCAAGACTTGTATGTTATCGGTTGTAGCACCTAGTTTGTCTCTCAAGAGCAGAAAATCGTATTCGTCAGCTTTCACCTTCTTGAGCATAGACACTGACCTGTTTCGGTTCAGAACTGAGTCTGAAACATGGAATCCTTTTCTGTTTGATGGTTCAGGTACCGTTTAGGTGTTTATCTTCTACTGGCTTCCTTCCGGGAAGTAGGAGTTGGTATGAACTATATATGTTATATGTAGACTTAACAACTGGGCGCAGAGTAATACCTATTGTATTTGTTGATATTGGGAGAATGATTAGTGATTATATGTGGAAAATAACATTAAGAATTTTGCAACAACCTTGTTAGAACCGTCGGCTCATTGTGAACTAGGTTTTCCACTTAAAGCATCCTGTAGGAAACAAATTATGGCGATATTAATTTTGTGCTTTTATTACGAGCTGCAATAATTTAGCAACGTGAAATGAAGTGCATTTTGGACGTGTTTAATCTTTAGCTCTTTCGTTGTTTTACGACGTTGCAGTGGTCGTACAATGTCGAATTAAATATAGTGACATGACATACGACGATGGGGAGAATATTGATTGAAGCTTTGCGGGCTGCTTTATTGTGCTGTACCAGTACCTGACTGGAGTGACTAATAAAAACCATGATGGTCCTCGATATACACAGTCCGTTGCCGACTTCTCGAATACATATCAAATCTCTTACACCTGTGAACAAATAACTCTAAAATGGCTGTAAAATTATATTTCTATACTATAATGAGTAAGTCAATATGAGTCGATATGAATGTTTATTCAGTTGAATTATGCAGATACGTTCTACTGAATTAAAACCCTTGATCATGAGTCTTATTAATCGCATCTCAGTGTTGCTGTGAAGACGTTTGGATACTGGGTTGGTGGGTTAATAGGATACACTTCCATTGCCTGAAATGTATGCTGATTTGAAGATCGCTGTCTTCTGGGTTGTAGCGACGTGCAGTCTGGTAGAAGTTTACCAGCGTTTCAATGGTCCTTGGTGCCTCTATGATGAGGGCGATGGTAAACTTATACCAAACTACACGGCGCTACAACCCAGTAGACATCCATCATCGTACTCACCTCCGTTAAAACTTAAAATTCTGTGTGCTGGTTATTTAAGACCTCGTTCACAACTGGACCAAACCGAAAGTGAAGTTAACTTAACCTAAATATATTGTCGTCTGGTCGAAACTCTAAACAACTTTTAGAGCACCTCGATGTTTACATTTTAATATTGTAGGAATATTTTCTCCCTTTTCAAACGCAATGGCAATACTTCGACCTACGAAGTGATGTCTGATAGTTTTTGTAGAACTACCTGTATACTTCTACAAGTTTACTTCTCAAACATTCTGTCTGTGTTCTCCCCTTAGTGTGAAGGACCAAATTTCATTGTCATCTAAATCAGCGGTTGAAACAATAATTTTATATAGCTTTATCTTTACGACTTTGCGTTGCTGTCCGAACACAAGAGATTCTGTACTTCATGGTAGGAAGAATCACAGTGGGAGAAGTTAGTATACAGTAATAAAATTTTAAATGTAGAAAGTGGTACAAGAATATTTGTCCTTTTTTTGAAATACGATATTGAACTTTTTGCCACGAACCAGCACGCGAACCACAGCTTTGCAAACATTGGTTACAGCAGTTTGTTGTATAAGATTTAGGTAGGTCAGATGAAGCTCTCTGTGTGTTCAGTCTCCTTCTCGGTTAGGTTTCTAATTCTCATGCCTGGGGGGAGGCTGTATTAAGCGTGTGGTATGGGATGATGCATTGTATTGCGGGGTCTAAGCTTGCTTAAGCATCAGACGCCGAGGAAAGTTTCTTATGTTAGTCCACATTCCGACTAATGAAGAATATTCACAGTTTAAAGTGGAAGGAGTGCTTGGGAAACACATGCACTGTATTTTAGAACTAGACGAAGATGGGAGTATAATATTAAGATGGATCTTATGAATTGTGGTGGATGTGTGTAGACTGGATTGAATTTGAATCAGGATAGGAACATGTAATTGGCTAATGTGACATTGAATTTTTTATTAAGTGATGGAAAATTCGACTATCTGAACATATTAACAGCTTCTCAAGAACTATGCTTCATTGAGTTGAAGATATAGCGTGTCCCAAATAAATATACACGCAAAGTTAATATTCAATGTTATAATGTGTATACATGTTTTTGGGACGTTCTGTAAATGACGTACGAGGAATTCAGGCATTTGGAAACTGATCAAGCCAGACCAAAGAATCCATTTACACTTAACTGCATGAGAGGGGCCTGACAGTGCAGGCCCTGACCCCTAGATGTGGGTGACGGTCTACGTTGAACGCCGGTATGAACGAACTGCTGAGTCAGTCTTCCGGTAAGACCAGTCCAAGAAGCGAGACTTTGCTCGTGATTTGGGTCAGGCTCTTCCACGTCTCCGTTGCATGAAGGAGCGACCACTTATTACGTTTATGGCCACGAATGTAGAATTAATATTGGGTTTGGAATGAGATTTGGTTGAAGGCTGCACACAAAACATTTTATATCGAATTAATAATGAATTGTCACACATTCCTTAACTAATCTCCTGAAATTCTCCATAGATATGGAGAATTTAAAAAGCCGGGCCATGTTGCGGGCGATATTTCATGACTAGAACCCACTTCATGAGGTGAGAACACGTGTTAGGTGTCTTGAAGGAAACTGCAGCAGATGAGTAACAGATGAACGTTATTCAGCTGGCCAAGAAATGTCCTTTTATAGAACGCAAAATTTTATTAGCCAGCTGTATTCATTCAGCATCTTCGAATTTTGTTTATCTGAGATCCATTTTAATTGGCAGGATATGCAGAACTTTTTTCCGATGATCCGACCACGTGCTGTCTTCGACGGACTTAACTTATGCAACACTGAATATCATGTCAGAAATACTTTTAATGTAATATTATTTCTGTCCCGAAGTATCTGTTTACAGCCGTGGAACAAACTGTTTGCTCTGATCTTCACGCTTTTAGAATTCATTTCCGTTTTTTTTTTGAACGTTTCGAAACTGTAGTTATATTTTTATAAATTCAGCGAAGTGTATCAGAAGCACGGGGAAGGTTAAACGTACAGTTCGTTCCAAAAGTCACGCAAATCAAAATGTACAGTATATTAGAGATTATAATTACATATTAATGTTATAGTTACAACATATTTTAAAAGTGTCCCCCGTTCTGTTGTAGACCCGTTTCAACATGTTTTTGGAAACTCTGAGAAGAATAAAGTCGTTGGTTTTAGCAACTTATTTGGTACAGTATCATCAGGAAAGTGAACCTGATATACCGGTTTAACTGTATCATACGATTGCTTTGGAAAATAATGTTCAACATTAAATACAATTTTTGAAAACGGCATGATTCTCGTCACACAAAAATTGTCTGAAGGCCAAGGAATTTAAATAAACTTTTGGTAACAAGGCCGGTAGCCAATGGATTTAAAGAATGACGCAAGTGGAATTGTACAAGTTTTATTATCAGCCCAGTTTTAAAATTAACGATTAGTATCTACATACAAGTGTACACGGCGTTAGAATCAAGAATACCAACATAGACATTATCGCCACGATAACTTGAAATATCATGTGATCAAATTCTTGTTATTATTCGGTGTGATTAAAACGTATTGTTATGTTACTTGTATATATTTTACTTAGGTAAATACGTGTAAAAATATTCATAATAGCAAATAAGTGGTGCTGATGACAAGGCAGTTTATGGAGGTTGTACGGTCATACTTCTAGAGATAATCGATTATATTTTCTTCGATTAAAAACCAGTATGGCGATCACGAAGCCATGTTACGTTATACGATTGTCGATGTCTTTTAACCTCACAGTGGTCCAGCTAAGAATTCTACTTCAGTGACGTGGACGACAAGTTTAACTGTCTAGGCTTGTTGAATATTGGTTTCTAGGTAAACTTCTAATTTGAAGTTTTTGCTGATCATTCCTTGTCCCGTTTCCAATTTATGGTACGTACGAAACATAACGGTACCTGAGGCTTTTCACAGAATAAAGAGTTGCAATGCACTGACGAATCTTAATTATAGCAGATAATCGTCATTGTTCTTGTGTAAAAACTATAAAGTCTTAATGGTTAGCGAACTTTTGTCATAGCTATTACTATTGTAAAGTGTAAGGAACCTTTCTCTTCGCTGTAGGGCACTGCAGAGAAACGGAATAGTTTCACGTCATGTCCCAGGACGTTGAGTGGTGGATTTAGCATTCCATCATGCACTAGATGACAATGTTAATGTGCAGTTCCCTAAAAAAGATTTAAAAGAAAATTATAATTATACAACCTTAGTTTCTTATAAGATCTGATCTTTATAATAAACTAGTTGTGTTAGGTCTTGCAATTGAAGGAGTAATATCAAAATTGAAAGATCTGCTTTATTGAAATCTACTACTGATCTGATAATTAGCCTAACACTTGCATCTCCTTATTACAGCCAAGTTTAAAGACGTCAGAACTGATTTCTTTGTTCAGTGTTTAGGACACTATAAAATAATTTTAATTTAATAGTCTCAATATCCTTTGCTCAAATTTACTGCTAAATATTAACCGAATTATGACCATGATTTTACTTACTAGTTTTGTTTCATTTATTTAGTAAAATTTGCGTTTGGACGGTTGGGACGGTCTGGCTGATAAAACATTAACTAACGTGCTCTCTACTTGACTACAGTAACTGACAAAATAACTGTATAGGCCAATATGTTCCAAAAGAAACAAAGGATAGTTTATTTATTTATTTATTTATCTATCTATCTCATTTGCCTCCAGCAGAGGGAAGCTGTCCAGTTACATGAGGATCACACAGTGTAATAGGAAATGTTAATGGTATATGAAAACAAAACAAAAGAATTACGTGTTCTTCCCAAAAGTTGGAGCTCGTATGCAAGTGTAAATGGCTTCAACCCAGAAAACCACTTGACATCCTCAGAGCCGTGAGAATCTCAGATGTAAAATAAGGTGAATACTTGCTACCATTCATTTCGAAATTTGTCTCTTCATCTCTTTGAGATTAAAAGACTAAGAATTACATTTTTAACTTTTGTATATGGGCGTGTGTGTCTCAGTCTGGGAAGATCATAAACTGAGAACATGATGCTGGGGGCAAAATTTTAACCCACCAATGTAGAACATTACTTCTTCAGGAAATTAATGATTAATACTATTAACCAAATATTTTTAAGGATATAAAAGGGTGGAGAAGGGTCGGACGTGTAACTATCGACGCGATATCAGAAATGCTGCCTCGTATTACTGAAATTTAAATGTATTTCGTAGGTGAAAGTCTAAAAGAAAGGGAAATTCATGTCCTCGCCATGTCTCTCGCATTTGTTACAGACGGATCTGAATTCCTGAAGCATGAATTTAGTGTGAATGGCGCTCACAACAGTCGAGGCGTGTCTGCCTCATAATTAGGTGATGGCTGTGATGAATATGTAGTTTAAACAGATCTTTAGATCCGTCACTGGGCGAAAAGTAATTTATGTCTTGACCGAGTGAGTAGGTTAAAGAAACATATCACGAAACTAGTCATGACCACGATAGTTCTAATGACCCTGTTTCCTTGCGGTGGCCTTGACCATGAACTACTATAATCCTTACAATGAACTTCATTAAAGAGCAGCAGTGAAATGTATTATTTTTTTCGAGGAATAGATCGTCCTTTCTACCATTTGAAACATTTAGCCTATAGTGACATTTAAAAATGTAATACGTAAAAGAAACACATTGCGTCTCCATTACATTCAGTGAGTGATAAAAGTTGTTCATTGAGATAATCGGTGTTTATTGTCACCGAGGAAGACTGGAATTTTGCAAATGTAATTCAAGAGATATCAGGATACCAACATTATCTGAAAACATTCGAAACGACGTAACCAGATCGCATCTCGCAGTTGGCATTCCGTTACAGAGCAAAGGGATGACGAGGCTTAGAGTGACCGTGACGATGATGGAGAGACGAAACCCATCTTGGGATTTATAAAATCAGGTCTTGTCGTTCCAACACTAGAAATTTCATGATGATAAAGTACTGGGCAGGTATTATGGAAATAAGAACTGTTGGAACCATGAAGATTAATGCCTTCCGGGGTGTTATACCATGTACTCTGGTAAGAATTGACCAACGTTTCAGAGATTTTTACTACTTCCATTATCACCCTGATGATAGATGCAGTTAGCATCTCTGAAACGTCGGTTAATTTCTATTAGAGTACAAGATGCAACACCCCTTAAGACATTAATCTTTATGCTCATTTCCATGAAAACCTGAAATCTCACCTATTTAAAGTTTTAATTACAGAATGGTTCGATCCATGGGGCCAGTCACTGTGTGTTAAGTTATGGAGCACGAATGAAAATTTATTTAAATGACCAACATACTACAAAGAGAAAGCATGTTTCTTGGCGGTTAATGCTGACTGCCACAAACCACATGCGGACCATTCTAATAATTATTTTGGTATGAGTCATTCTTGCCTAGCATCAGTTTAACACAGACTCATTTTTATCGACAGTTTGCATTGATGGTATTTATATCCGAACTAAGAATGGTAATTTGGCGAGAACGGGAATTAGGGGCAGAGCGGTGTTGTTTATTAGCCTAACACTGACGTCAGGACCTTCACGTTACGATTCATAAATTGTGTATGAGACAGAAATTAATTTCTTCATATCTAAGTCTATTAGTATGCTTAGGAATAAATTACGATGTATATAATATTCAATAGAGCGAGCTTTTTTTTACATGTTAATTCTTATGTGATAGGCACATCCTGTATATATGAGTTTTAATTGAAATTCTGACTGTTCTCACGCACAGCATATGCTTAGTATGAAATGCAAGTGAAAGTAATATACTATTGTGAACATCAAGGTTGATGACAGAGAATTTCAATTAGAAACTTGTCTCATCAGCAGAATATGATGTATTTTAGCTTCCATTCACCACATTTATTTTAGGACATTCTTAAAATCACGGGAAGTTGTCATTTTGCATTTCTTTATGTTACAATAATTTTAAATGTGCAGATACGTAATCTTCAAATATTAGTTTATAATTGTAAAGAATAGCCTATGTATAATACAGAAAATTCAATTCTGCCCACTCACAAATTGACACTAATAAAAAAATATTATATTGTCTTTCTGTTCTCTTAAAGGCTTTCATTGAAGGAAAAATACCACTCGGAAAATTTTGAAGTAGGTGGGAGGATAATATTAAAACAGGTCTTCAGGAAATGAGGTTGAGGGTGTGAGTTTGATTAATCTGGCACAGGACAGGGAAAAGTGGCCGGGTTTTGTGAGCACTGCAATGAACCTTCGTGCTCCGTAAAAGGCTTCTAGTTTCCTTGAATGGATTAGCCAGCTTTTACCTTCTCAAGGACGCTGCTGCACTGCCTTAATCAGTCATATCTATGCTTTATCTTGCCATTGTTTTCCAGATGGTGCTATGGGCTACCGCCGCTGCAATGGCAGTAGCCCTAGAGCCAGCTGACGTCCAGGTCAAGGACTCGGTCAATGTGTCTACCGCCACAAGAGGCAAGAGAACTTTGGAATTATTCTCACCACTGTCAAGATCGTACGGTTCGGCAGATAGCAGAATTTCAACAGGTCCTACCGCAAGCTCCAGAGTAGCCATATCAACGCATTATTTCGATCGTGGCACACCACCGATCACGATCCGCCACCAGACACGTGCGCCAACTCATCATTCTGGAACACCGATTCGCCGACAGCGTCCTCATACGGTTCCAGCTCCACCGTACGCGGTCCAAATGGAACCTTTAGTGCAGTACTCTCAACGCGATCCATTATACCATCAGCAACAGAAACAAGCGTTATCCGGAAAGGCATCAGAGCAAAGCAGCTTCAACGATCTTCAGCATGTAAAGAAAACGTCGGGCACACCTGAACTTCAAGTGGATTATTTGCACAAAAGCCAGCATGTCAGCTCAAATGAGCTGTCTTCTGCAAATACAGTGCCACCAAGCAACGAGGACAGTCTCATACAAACTTCCAAGAATGATCATGAACTTGCGGAAAGTAACCAGATTCCACGTGGCTCTAATCCGTCCACCCTTCTGGACAGTGAACCCCAGGCTGGTCACCTCAGTTCCGAACATTTGTACCCCTATGATGATAGCTCATACTATCTACGAGAGCCAGAGCCTATTATAGAAATAATAGTGAAAGAGTCCAATGAGTCATTGCCGCCCTCTCCAACGCAACCTAGTCCACCACCACGCTCTCCTACCAAGGAACCTGTTCAAGTGTTTTATGTAAAATACAAAAAAGATCCCGCTAAGTACGGCAAGGATGGAGGTATTGTATATGATCCTCCTGTACCAGCTGTGACTCCAGCAAGCAACAGCGACACCGAAGAACATTACCCATTACCATCGGAAGACTCATCTAACCAACCAACATTGCCACCTCTACCTCCGCAAACTACAACACTGAGAACCATTATTCGTCCAGATTCAGAAACGTATCATGGTACGGGCCTACATGTAACATTTGGAGATCCGCACGATGAAGATTCACACGATGATTATCAGCAGCAATCCGCTCCTCACCCGTCTGTCGTATTTCCTCATCAGAACTTTGGTCCACGATACCAACATAGGCCTACTTTTGTTCCTCACGAGCAGCATAAAAGACAGCAGGAACTCTTCCAGCAACAACCACCTACCCCATTTCTTCATCCCCAACCACAATTCCATCAACAACAAGGTCACTTATCACCGCATCCATCTTCATTCCAGAGGCCCTTTAACTCACCTCCATTTCCTCAGCAGAGACAACCTCAGTTTCAACAACCCCCTCCTTTGTCACAACAGCCACCTTTCCCCCACCAGCCGCCCCAATTTCGCCACTCGCCACCACAACCCCCTCAGCAGCAACAACCACAGTTGTCAAATCAACAACCATACCAGAAACCTCCTTTCCAGTTTCAACAACGCCCTCTGCAGCAACCAGGTCCTCACAACCAACACCGATATCCTCCACAGATTCAACAGTCTCAACAAGTACTTCTACCCCAACGTCCTTCTTTCCAAGAACATCTGCAAAGACCCTCTCTTCAGCAACCCCAAAATATCCAGCAAAGACCACATTTTGCTCAATCCCCTCTAACATTGGATCAAAGGAAACCCGTATTCCCACTACATCCTGGTTCGGGATTCGTACAGCAACCAGATCAGCAACAAAATAATCCTCAGTCTCCAGTTGGAGTACAGCAACAACAACATTTACTTCAACAACAAAGACAGCAACAACTGTTACAGCTTCAGCAACAACAACGACAACATTCACAGCAACTTCAGCAATTTCCTGTACAGCAGCAACAACACTTATTCACACATCCTCAGCAACAATCAGTACCAGTTAAGCAACAAAGCCATTTGGGTGCGGATATAGTGAAGTCTGTTTCACAACAACTCCACCTTACACCAAATAGCCAGTCAAACCAACAACCGTTATTGACATCAAACAACAAATTTCAACAGCAACCATCTCCCACTCAGTCTGCATTATTTCAGCAGCCTCTGTTCAGTCAACAAACTCCGACTCGCCAACAACCTCAGTCAGTTCTACCAACACCAGCTATTAACAACTACTCAGTTCCCCCCAAATCAATTTCGTCAGTACCATCAAGTACTAACGCTCCGACGACAGTGACAACACCGAAGCAACACGAGATCAAGACGGAAGTATCAGGCGACAAAGATAAGAATGCCGTCAATCCAAGTGTGTTAGCTTCACTTCCGGACGAAGTTCCCGATGATTTGCGCCAGCAATTGCTATCTTCCGGAATTCTCAGCAACGCAGATATCCAGATATTAGATTACGATAAAGTTGGTGATATTCCAATCGAAAACTTACCTCCAGAGGCACTAGAAAACTTCTATGGGGCTGCAGGCGCTGCTAGTGATCCTGTACCGTCGATCGTCTCTGCCAACGACTCAGATGTTCCGGTTGAGATGAAAGTTGTCCGCTTTAATCCAGCTACAGCCGAAGGACAAGAGCTAGCAGAGAAGTACGTGAGGGAAGGTGCAACTCAGGTGGACCCTGTTGTACTCAACGACTCAAAATATAATCGTTATTTGCCATTGAAATTGAGTGGAGCGCAATTTCCTTTACCGGATGTTCCGGAACTGAGAGGTCGAAATGTAACTAGTGTCGTTGTACTTGCCCCGGTCGACTACGACTTCCAACAGAAGCAGGTCGGTCCTCCAGATGACGACACTGACAGATCAAGCCGGGAGACCAAAGTTCAGGTGCATGGGGTACAGTTCGTGGCTGGGGAAGCTCTTAAGGAGTTAGTGAAAGAACCCACGTTTGAAAATTTTAAACGATGGTTAGACAAGGAAAACTCAACGGTTGCAGCTCGGCAGTCGATTGTTTTGCTGGTCGCCGGGTAAGTACAAGACGTAAATGTTTTTTATCGTAATTTTATAATATATTAGCCTGTTCTTTAATACTAGCGAACTGCCCGTTAAGGACGTCTGGAAAATATACTATATTAAATGCACATAAATGTTATTTCATAAGGATCAAAATTCCTTAATATAAATATCATGGTGACTGTTATAATACGTTCATAAATATTCATCGCCCTGATGACGGAGGCAATATGACCTCTGAAACGTCGGTAAACATCTACCAGACTACACAGCGCAAACAACCCAGAAGACGGAAATCTTCATCCAAAAGTCTCTTTAAAGGTCATGCTCAATTTTATAATACTTTGGAAAAAATCTTCGTTTTTATTTTTTATATTTTTGTACTTTGAGCCGTTTTTATAAGGTCGACAAATTTTGACAAGTTCTAGTATAGATCCCCCATATAAAATTTAATTTAAGTTTTGATGATAAGAGCAATGGCGGACGCGGAGATCTGAATCAGCGTGTCCGCCATTACGATGTTTTATTCTGGGATTCTACCTGGAGGATCCACTTCAGGCTTTATGAATGGAATCGTGAAATATAACTTGGTTTTCAGACCGTAATACAGTAGGTGTTGAGAGCGAAATGTCTTGTTCAAAAGTTCTGAAAACTATGTTCAACACCAATAGCAATGCAAACAGCTCAGAAGAAATTTTCGAGAGGTATAGAAAATTTATATTTAAATTTAATTGCTTATCATTAGATTATCCCACAACCGCGCACGGTATGAGGTCGCTCAAATGTTGGAATAGTTTGTTTTAATCCTGTCCTGTGAGTGAATCACGTTCGTGTAAAGCATTTAGATAAGAGCTACAGAGCTGCAGCATCCCCGATAATTTTTCAAAAATTCAAAAGTCTGGAGAAGTCCTGGATACTTTATGCCGAATTTCATTGGTCATGGAGAAGTGCTGGAGAAGTCCTGGAAGGTTATGTGGAAGTCCTAAAGTGGCGGTGGGTTTTAACCTATGCGGGTCGGTTATTTTGTGTTCGTTTGGGCACTTGCAATTGTCGAAATTTAAACCAACTTTATTAGGACTTAACCCTTGAATTCGGGATTTTTTTAAGTAACTAACTCCATGAATCAGTGTCTTTTTATGAGGTCAACGTCAGTGTGCTCAGCTAGTCAAATTCCCAACCTTTTGTGGAATCAGTTTCATTACTGTGCTAACAAGAGCCCGCCATCTGTCCTTATCCTGAGCCAGATGAATCCAATTCACACTCCCGAACCCCATGTCTTTAAGATCCATTATGACCTTATTCTTCCATCTTGACTCTGTCCTTCCCGTCATCTCAAAAGAGGAGTTTTGTCCTCGACGTTTAGTGTTATTTAATATCCTCAGTTCTTAATTTAATTTGTTCTTTTCGTATGTCCAAATATTTCCCTCATAACTTTGCCGTCGTTTTTAATAGTTGGTAAAGGAATTGTTTCTATATAAATTTCGTTTTGACAGGTCAACAGATGGGAGTAATACCAAGGATATCTTCATGTACGACGTTGGGACCCAAAAGGTAAGCAGTCTTCGGGGAGAACTTAGCTCCGCGTTTGTCGAAGTGGCAGAATCGAACGCTAACAGTCAGGAACTGGACAGTCTAGCAGCTGCTTCGGACTTAATGGACCAGTGGGAACAGAGTCGGTTCGAACTTCAGTCAGGCGATGAACCATCAGCTGCCGCTTCCGACATATTTGAAGATCGGGTTTTGCCGAATCAGGTCGTCGACATTTCCTCATCTGCATCTGAACAGGATCTCAGATACGATGAAACCAAGAAGGACAAGAAGAGTGTTATTCCACATTATCTTACCTTTGCCGTCTCTGAGTCGGATGGCGAATCAAAAGATGACAAGACAAGTAACATGATATTAGTTTCTTCTGGTTACAGTAAAACAAGTGATTTTACGGGCCCCTCGCTCTGATATTTCCAATGACCGCCAAGTAAGAAATTTATGACGATATTATACGGAACGGCGTTATTCACGGGTATAAAGAATAGTCCTTAAATCGGTGAATAGCAGAAGGTATTAAAACAGTAAGCCTTCTGCCGCAGATGTGTCTAGATAATTTTGTGAAGTAGGCCTATAAGGACGGAATGTACGTATTGTCTGTTAATAGACGACATAGCAACTGAAAATGTACGGTTGCTTGCGTTTAAAAGCCATAAATGTGAAGCTTGATTCCAGAGTTTCAATTAAGTAAATTTTAAGTACAAATTCTTCTGTGTTGTACGAATAGTCTGTTTTTTATGCAATAGATATTACATTTTAATTGGGTTATGTTACTTGTCTAAAATTTACTTTTACATCAAACGTTCTTTCAAAATATTTATTTATTAATCTCAATAAAAATAGACTAATACCCATTGAAATCCGTATTTCTTTATTGGAAAAATATTTAATCATTACATGCCGAAGCTAATCTCTATAGAAATTTTTGTTATCTGTAAGGAAACACACGCAATGTCTGTTACAGTGTCAGTTAATGATGATTATTAATAACCATCGTCCTCAATTCTCATACCCAGACAAAACGTAAATCTTCCGTAGCTGAAATCTAGAATTAGTGAACTGACAAAATAGGCCTACTTTTCATATTGTGCTGTAAGGAGTTAATCATAAATTTGATACACGTATGATTAGGACGAAATTACTTACACTAAACCTCAGAAAAGTCACAGTAATTAGGCTTTAACACTTTGAAGCACAACGTTTATCTAAATAATATTTAAATTTGAGTTCCTACATCAAACGAAACAACGTGCCATTACAAAAATCATTTGGTTAATGATAGGTAAATACTCGATGTTTATTCTCAGAATCGTACGTAACCCATAAATACACTCTTTGAACTAAATTCAGAATAATTTAATGATGAAGTAGGTGGTACACATGTTGCTTATATGTTTTAAAGGGTTAAACACCGAGTCCTGTTATAAAAGTTTGGTTTCCAATTTAACCACATGCAAGATTTCAAAGTAACTGATCACCACAAGCGCGGAATGCAGATGGAATGTCGAGAACTATTTGTATGTCATGTTGATTCAGTTCTGGGTCAGCTTACCATACGATGGGTTCTCGACAGACCGGCCGGTCGGTAGGCTACTGTTATTTTCCTTAACAAGTCTTGTGCTGCTAGCAGCAGACGCGAAAATCCGGAATAGGAGGAACTTTATCACTGAAACTACAACCTCATTCTTTGATTCTAACGGGTAACGTAACTTATTTCAAGCTATAGACGTTGAATACAATACTAATTTGATGAACATTTATCAAAAAATACAATTTACGGAGATGTCAGTTAACAAACTTACATTATCTACGTTATTTAATTTGTTGATTTAACTTTGCGTTTGCAACTGCGTGTGTTGATACATGAGGAATTGCTATAAATTGAAAATGGTCATCAAAATTCTTTGAAAGGAAACAAAGGAAAGTATTTGATAATTTGTGTGTGTATATTAAGAATACAAATAAGAAGTCTATTACATTTAATGATAAATATACAAATGTTTAAATTTTGTATACTTCCAGCATCTAATAGATATATATTCTCTGAATGGTGTTTACTTTTGATAAATATACAGTATTGAAACGATTTATATTTCATTGTGATGTAATGCTCCTTGTACAGTGAATGAGTGTGTCATTTTATATTTACCTATATTTTCTACGAGTAAAAGTATTTGATATAAAAACGTTTATAATATTTCTAAATAACCCTTAAATTAAGAACTTGTGGTATCTACATTTGTACTGATAGAATGAAAATCTAATTTGTGCTCCATCCCACTGCTGTTAAAATCTATATATTTCAAATCATCTAACATTGATAAGTTAGTACGAGACACCACTTTGGACTTCTGTAAATAATATCGATGTTGGTCTTACGGGTTTTAACACCTTATAGAATCGTAGACAGAAATCAATCTTTTTTTGCCGAATCGCTGGTGCATTTACAGAAATTCTCACACGTCGTTAGAACCCTAAGACCAACATCGACCTCATCTCCGCCGTCAAAACCCGAAATCTTGAATAAATAACGTTTTATTTTTTGTGAGATTTGAGATTTTTACGGCAGTGAGAATAAATGTGGACTATTTTTTGTTTCGGTTGTGATGTGTGGTCTTGCAGGAGAAATATATCACCACTATCTTCAGGCTAGAAGATAGAGAAATTGGTAACCACGTATAAGACTTCCCGGCGTCAGAACCCGGAAGACCAAATTGATCTATTTTTTCATATTAAATGCCGGGATGGCTTACACATTTGAGTGACCATCAGTGTGGACTGTGTTTTTCTCTCCACTGTGTCCAGACGACATCCAGTCTCCCAACCAATGCATAGAAGCAAAATCTTACAGAGATAAGGTCGTCGGGGCATGAACTGACAACTCCATGTATTGACAACAAAAACGTTTCCGTTGACCTAAACTTCAACACTTTACCTTCATAGATTGGTGTATGTACCAAGGAAGACTTTACTTTTGTATTTTATGAGACCAATACTTGAGATTTATCTAATTGTTTGCTGGATTATTGTTCTCATATCGGAAGGAAGTCCTTCGTCTGCCAGACCAACACCGGTAACCTCTTTCGCAAACATCTGGCAGATTGAGTAGAAAACTGTGTAGATCTCAAATCTCATTACTTTGTCTATTAATTCTGTCAGATGTCGGAAGGCAAGAGTTGCAGTTTTTCGTGAGGAGTTCCAAATATGCGCTTAATGAAACAAGTAAGAGAATCAAAATGTAGTTTTTATGTTAAAACACGTGTTACTATTTATTATTTTTGTATTTTTCTCTGCAGAAGAACTGGGAAGTAAACAGAATGAATTATTAATTAATTCTTCTAAGGGAACGCCCCGTTTCAAAGACGTAGACATATAAGGTAGCAGAAAGGACTGGACATTTTCGTCCGTCGAATAAATAAAATAGTTATCGGAGAAATTACATGTTTAACGACTGTATTTTATTAAGACATATTTAACAGTTTCACAAGTGGTTTAATATCTGTTCGCCAGTGTTGTTTGTAATTCACGTCTATGCGGAAGTTAAAGAAGGCTTTCTTCATAGAATTCTGGTGTGTATCAAGATATTCTCTGCTGACTGTGGTAGCATTCTTCTGCCGTTCGGGACAGCTGTTCAGCCATGACGTGACCGGTTTCTTGAACCATGCTGTAGAAGTGGCCTTCTTTTTTCTGCAGTAAAACATGAGGATGGTCAAATTCTACCACGGTTCCAACCTCCATGACCAGAACCCTGTCAGAGTCCATGATGGTGTTGAGACGGTGTGCAACAGTGAGTACCGTGCAGTCAGCGAATTTAGTGCGGATAGTTTTCTGGATGAGCGAATCGGTTTGAGGATCTACGTTCGCAGTCGCTTCGTCCAACATTAGGATTCTGTTGCTGCGTAGGATTGCCCGAGCCAGACATACCAGCTGCCTTTGACCGACGCTGAAGTTACAACCACCTTCTGCTACGTGAGTGTCCAATCCAAGAGTATCACTAATCGAATCTTTCAGTTCAACATCAATCAGAACTCTCCACAACATATAATCAGGATACATGTCAAAAGGGTCGATGTTTCGACGTAAAGTCCCTGAAAATAGAACTGGGTCCTGTGGAATAATGGAAATATGTTTACGCAAGTCGTGGAGACCTATTGTTCCAGTGTCAATTCCGTCAATCCTGATAGTACCCTCTACGTCTGCGAGGCGGAAGAGAGCTGCAATAAGCGAAGACTTCCCAGCACCCGTTCTTCCTACGATCCCAACCTTTTCCCTTGGTTGAATGGAAAGATTTAGATTCTTTAGAACAAAAGGCTCGCTGTTGTTTCCATACCGCAGGTACACCTTCTCAAAATCTATTCGCCCTTGATAAGGCCAACTCCTGGGCACATTCTTATCTTGAGGTGTCTCAAGGAGAGGCTCTTCTGGTACGGACTTATACTCAACAACACGTTCAACGGACATCATCTGATTTGCTACTTCAGCTGATTGACGCATTCCCCACTGCATCATGCCAACTAGAGCCATAGATTGAGTAATGGCGAGACCGACATTACCACCAAGTGTGCCTCCAATGAGCAGAAAACTAAAAGTAACAATTCCAATGAAAATTAAGCAAAAAACATCCAGGCAGAACCCAAATGCCTGACTCGTAGTAATGAACATATACCATGCGGATGAGTGGAGATCTTGATGTTTATCGAACTCGCTGCACAAAATATTCTGTGCTCCATAAGCTCTGATCGTAGTCAGACCTTGCAATGTAGCTGTTAGATGCGTGAAGACTGGACTCTTTGTGATTCCCTCAAGGCGTTTCACGTTCTTCGAAGTTTTCAGATAGATTTTACGTATGAACCAGAAGAGCAAACCCATGACAACAATTGGAATCAAGAAATACAGATTCACAGAAACAGCGACCACCAAACTACCAGCCATCATCAAGACAATTTGCGAAGCGTCCATAATCGCTTTCGGCAGAAGTTCATCCACTGAACCTATATCCTTTGAAAACCTGTTCATGATTCGACCTGAAGAGTTGGTATCAAAAAAGCGCATACTCGTATGGATAATACTGTTGAACATGGAGTTATGGAGGTTAGAGGAGCAACGCATACAGAACTTATAGAAGGCGAAAGATCGGATAATGGTGATCGTAAAAAGCATTACCACAATACCTGTATATATATACAAGTAAGTATATGTGCTGAGCATTTCTTGAAGGTTTGTATAGTATTCATTCTCCATCGTTGAATTACTGTCCAGTGCTTGTGTCCCCAACGAAATCTGTCTCTCATAGAACTCTCGAAGTTCCTCTTGCGTCGTCCAATAAGCCATCCACCAGTCGGTGATGCTTCCAACAGTTTGGGCCAACAGGAACATGACACCGATGAAAAAAACCACACATAAATTGGCACCAGATCGGAAATATTCAATGTATACAGACTCTTTTGACGTTCCTTTCGAGGAAGCTTCTAGATTGGTATGAACTACTGTCTGTTCGGGTTCTTTTTCCTTGACTGGTTTATCAGAAGATCTGCTCTTGACTGACGAACGTGAGATCTGTCGCAACAAGTTGTTTATTGGCCCGTTGGTCTCTCTTTCAGCTTCTGGTATATCTTCTACTGAAAGATCAGTGGATTCATCCAAAGACAGTAGTTGAGCATAATTGGCTTGGCTCCCTAGTAACTCTTGAAATGAACCCTGCGTTTCAATGGCACCATCATTGAGAATGACTATGTGATCGGCGTCTCGGAGATACTGAAGTTGATGTGTGACCAATATACGGGTTTTATTTTTCAGATACGAAACGATACAGTCGTTGAAAAGATGTTTCCCGACATGCGTATCTACTGCTGACAATGGGTCATCTAGTAGGTAAACATCGGCTTCATTATACACGGCTCTAGCCAGACTAATCCTCGCCTTCTGTCCTCCGGACAACGAAGATCCCCTGTCGCCCACCAATGTCATGTCACCGTACGGAAGCTGCTTCAGATCTCGCTCTAAAGCACAAACACGAACCACTTCGTTATATCGTCGCCTGTCAAATGGACGACCGAATATAATGTTTTGTCGGACAGTAGATGCGAATACCCAAGGCTCCTGACAGGCGTAAGATATCTTACCACTGATGTTTATATAACCACTAGACAATGTCAGTTCACCTAAAATTGCTTGTAAAAGCGAACTCTTTCCAGATCCTACCTGTCCTATGACTGCTATTAAAGTTCCACGTTTGGCTAGTAGGTCTATACATTTTAAGGTATTCTCTTTGACACTGGCGTTCCACTTCGCTGTGATACGGCTGAGAATTACACCGTCTATGCCATCCACACGGCTGAGAACACGTTGTTGTTGTGAGTTGCTATCCTGAAACTCTTCCAGCATCATAAACTCTTCTAAGCGTTTGATAGACACTAGTGTTTCGGCAATTTCGGCCACTCCACGCACAAACTGCATCGACATACTGAAAGCCAGTACTGTGAAATAAGATTGGTACACGAACACTTTATCAGATGATAACTTGTTTCCAAAGGTAACCAGGGTAGCCAGAGTTCCAAACAGAGCTATGCGCGTTGTGATAATTTGAAAACTCATAAATAAACCACGAATGTATGACGTTTTTATTACAACGTCCAATTCTGCTTTTCGAGCAACACTAACCATTTTGGCGAAAGGTTTTTCCCAGACGTACATCTTGATCACTTGGATACCAGAAATAATCTCGTCCATCAGTCTTACCCGTTCGTCTGTCCTGATTGCCGTCCGCCGTCGATAGATGGACGTCAGTTTTCCTGTGTAGACTTGCAGTGGGACGATTAAGAACACAATCCCTATTCCAATAAGACCAGAATATCCGGCGTTCACGTATAAGAAGTAAGTAACAATTATGGCGGATAACGGGGCAGTCCACATAGCATGCAAAAATATGGATACCATGTCAAAGCGACTGACGTCATTTGATAGCAGATTTACCACCTTTCCGGCAGCGGTCTCACCAAGAGCTGTGCGACTTAGACGTAGGGACTTTCTGTAGATCAAGGAACAGCACGCAGCGCGAACCCTCATGCCGACATGAAACGCTCCGACAACGAAGTGGTTGAACATCAGCATGCTGATCATCGTGAGAACGACTATACCACCCCCAAATAGATAAGCGTCTTCTTCTCTTGTCTTACTTCCTGGTTTGAAAAATCCCAACAAGTAACCCAAAAGTATCGGTTGAATCAATCGTATAACGAGGTCGTTAATTGTGTGAAATACGCCAAGTATGGTGTATTCCCAAGCGAATGTCAGTGCAATTGCTTTTAGGAGACTCGGCTTTTTCCCTTTGGATTGTCGGGTGACCTTCAACTGCTGTTCCCATTGCTTCTCTAGCTTGTTACCCAGGTATTCTGAAGCATCAGTCTTCAGAGGATTGTACAGGTCTTCCTCCACCAGATTCTTACGATAGCCTTTCTTGAACAAATCAACAGTCCACCAAAACAGAAGCACAGAAATGTGATTAGCGTTCTCTCGAGGGTTAGGGTTGTCCCTTGTTTTCCCCGTATCCATAATACTGAGTCCTCCTTTTCATATAAGACGCTCTCGAAACACAGCGAACTTGTAATCCGATAACAACAATTTTTTGGTTCTTTAATTAAAGTAAACTATATACATATATGGTGGATGCAACGTATCTTCAGCGTCTCATAATGTAAGTTCAACTGTAAGAGGAGAGCTCCTGGTAAAACTATAAAAAGATTCCCTTATCAGAACATAAATGACACAATTTCTCGCTCAGCTTTAGTGTGTTTGCTGTATTAAAGAACAATAGTGTTATAAATATCGAATGACTTGCAGAAATTACAATCACAACAACCCGCCTTCATCTGGGTACTGATAAAACAAAAGATATTACCATTACTGTGCATTATGTATTATTTAATGCTGGATCAAGTAATGAATGTTGCCCCACGAGATTAATGAATGACCAATGAGATGACAAGATTTCTGTATTCGTAATCAGATGTATTATTTTGTACACAAACGTCAGCATTAGATTCTGAACCGATACATTTATATGATGTAACCTGTATTTCTTTCAACAAGAGTATTTTCAGTTCAGGCGTATGATTATTTGATATATTTTTATGCATTTCTTTCCAAGTGTTAATTCATGAAACATAGTGCATAACGTCACTCATCAGTGACTTAGGGTCAATGGAGTTTTCTATGAAATGATTTACTATAGATTATGATAACTTGACTTTCATAACACCACAGAACACTTAAAAAATAGGACTAAAGAATTTAAAAATAATAAAATGTTTACAACAATTTTTTTGCAATTTAGATTAAAAATAAAATCCTAGAAGTTGTTGTTTTGTCTCTACATTACATTACATAAAATTCTTCAGCACATATATCCTACTCTTATCGATATGCATTGTGTATAGTAGGCCTAAATTAAAAATAAAAATCACATTTCTCACAAAAATTCGAATTCGAATTTGTGTAAATTAGAACGCAACATGTAATTGATTAAGCATTTTACTTAGCTACCATAAAAACACGAACTTCAGATTTACTTCGCAAACTTGGCCGCCGTGGAACTACAGTACTTTTATACTTGAAGCTCTGTGATTATTCTTTTATGGATTCTGAGAAAACGACGTATTTCCATTAGAAAGATCAATGGGTATACGGCGCTCAGAAAAATAATCGGTGTTAAAGCATGTGGTTTATATCATTACCACTCTGCTTTGAAGGGTTAGGCGAGATCATTGCCCATTAACTCGTCAATATTTTAAAATGTATTTGAATACTTGTCGATTTTACTTCCCTTAGGTCGTTTCAAAGAATATATCGAAATTCGGGGACAAAATTTAATCGATTTCATCAAATAAGTCTTGTACAACGTTTATTGTATAGTGCTATTTAACAGTCACAGTTCCGTAGTTGGCACTACTGTCCGTGGAACTCATTAGACAATACATGCAGTGACCGTACGTATCCATCAGGCGGTGCAAATTTCGTCTGTAGGCGCTGATGGACTTGTCGACAGCCCCCCGCAAATTTCTATTTGATACCTTTTAACAAAGTTTTTGTGACAAGAATGGCTACGATGGAAGGTTCTTTGAGCAAATGGACAAATGTTATGAAAGGCTGGCAGTATCGGTGGTTTGTGTTGGATGACAACGCAGGATTATTGTCCTACTACACAGTAAGTATTTATTAATTCTTTAAACTTTGGTTGTAGCAATGGTGATGAAGTTCTGTTACAAAGCAAATAGTTTCATTATTTTGTTAGTATGAAGTGGTCTCCGATTATGTTATTTAGCATACATTATTAGTAACCATGTTATTACTTCATATATCAGTTTGCATTACATTATGTTGTAGCTTCCAAATTGTGACTGCATTAAGTTTTCAACTTTAACTGTAGGTAACATTAATTTGGCTGAATTAATTATTCTGCAGTCTTATTTTGTATTTCACCCCTTTGTTGCTCTGTTGCTGTTCTGCATCCCATTTCAATCACGTTTGTTACAAAATGAACTAATTTATATTAATGTAATCACCTCTATTACAAATTATGGTTTGCAAATGAAGTTTAATTTTAGTTCATTGTTGGCCTTATAGCTGCAGTAAGTTGACTTGTTCAGAGTTAGGAAACAAGGATTACACACAACAGAATATTAAAAATGATCTCATGGAATAATGTTTAGTAGCTGGGATGGAAACTAATAAGTATCTATTGGAAATGGATAAAGATATGATATATATACTTGATGATCTCAGATATAAACTACTAAATTATTCTAAGTTTTATTTGTTGTAGTTTGTGTTCAACATTACATTATATTAGTTACACCATAAATTATTGCAGAAGATACTGATAAATTGCAGATATTTTATTGAGGATATAGTGAGATTGCCATTAATGACTGAGTATTTACATAATGTTTTCTTACTTTTCAATTTTTATGTGATTGGATGTGTATGATTTTTTGTAGAAATTGTAGAATAGGTAGTATACTATGAAAATGTTTGGAATGTGTCCATAATACATAGAAGCATGGACATTACACTTTGGATGAAATGCTTGCAGTGCATGGACAGCCATTATGATGAACTGAGTCTGAAATTGCAAAGAAATATGAAAACAATTTTAAGATCAGTAAATAGTACAAAGTTTGACTGTTTTTATTAGTTTTCCTTCAGTCTTATTCCATTCTGATAGACTGTTATATTTATCTTTACATAGTTTTTCTTATTTAGAATTTAAAATAAAGTTCCTGCTTCCTGGTTACTGTAAGAAGTCCATTTGAATTTTAACTAAATTGTGACTTGCGAATGAATGTCATTTAAGAACATGACCGCCCTTCTGGACAAATATTACCACTTGTAGAATTTCTCAGAATCTTTTTCTGCCTTCAACCAGAAGCAAAGAATTGGTATATCAAGACTGGGCATGTATGCTCTATATGTAATCTATTTACAAAGTTCAGATGCTTTATCTAAACCTTTCTAACTAACTTACAAATAATTATTAACTTTATTGTTTGTTGTAAAGTATAAGTACTCTTATAATTAATGCTGAAACATTTAAGAGTGCATTTTACTGATGAAATAATTTTTTTACTATTTAGTATTAAATGTATTTCAAAATATAAATGTCATATATGTTTGAGTAAGTATATAAAAACAGAAACTGATACATTTTCCTCTTTTTAGTTTAAGAGCAATTTTCTCAGCTTCTTGTATTTTTCTAATGGAATCAGTTATTGATATTCAACAATGTGTTACCTGTTTGAGGCCTAATTTGTCAGAACTCAAACTCCAATGAATATGATGATAAATAGTGTTCAAAAGGAACATGAGTAGCTCTTTGGGTAGAAATTAGTAACCTAAGATTGTAATTGAGGTTGGTCCTTACATCTTTTACAAAGTTGGAACTTACCAGTTGGATGACTGTAATATATTTCTTGAATCTGGCAGTTCGCTTCTGCCATTTCAGTCCCAGTGATGTTAGAAAGTAGTATGTGTACATAAAAACATGTACCAAGAAGTTTATCATGACTGGAAATGATGCCATTCCTCCTGAAAAGGAATAATGTAAGGATGCTATGATAATATAATAAATCTGTTAAAAGATATATCCACTTTATTGTATAATGTTAGAATTATTTTAATAATTAATTAAAATTTAGCCCCATTAGTTCCTTTCTTTTGTATAGGATGTCAGTGTATATCATTTTCAAGTTTGGTAATTTAGAATTACCTTATTTTTTATTTGTAAGCTATTAAACCCATACTTCTACTGCCTTAATAATATAGTTTCTTCTTGATCTTGCCCAAATGAGACAATGTTTATGTTGGAATTCTGACATGAAGGATTTAGCACTTATTTTATGTAATACAAATTTTGAATCCGTTTCTTTTTCAGGAGTCTAAATTTCATCTTCGGGAAAGAAACTGGGTTTTTATTTATATACTTCTCCAACTATATCATGCTATATTGTAATTATATTTTAAAGCTGATAATATTTCAGTTTGTTTGCCTAATGTAATGGTATGTGTTAAAAATTAATAATTCTTTCTTACCTGGCATAAATTTTGCTCCCAACCAAGCAAGAATTACGGTAGATACGTGGTGATAGAGATGGAGGAATGATACTTGATTATGTTTCTTTCTCAGTACAAAAATTACCTGCAATAAAACCATTATAAGTGATTTAAAAGATTTTATGAACTTTGTATAATTTCAAATCCCCCTTCAAATAGAGGTTAAATTAGTGTGGTGATTGAATGATTCCGGGTCCAGCCTGTGTGTGACATATCATGGTCCAATGTGGGCAGAAAAATATTGTGCTGTTACCAGCTTACGTTTAAAGTCTGCAGTGGTCAGAATTAGGAATATTTTAACAGCGGAACAGCAGTGTTCGCAAAAAGTACAACTTTTTTCAACACACCAGGCAAACACGTGATTGTTGGTTAGTGTTGTTTCGAGGCACATGGCACTGAAGGGTGATTAATTAAATCATAACCTTGATGTAGTTATTTATATATTCATTAAGGAAATGCCATATATTGCCTATTAAGAAATACTACAATTATTAATTTTAATTTCTGTGTATTTGTATATTTATAAATGTTCTCCTTATATCAAAACAATGATTAATAACATTATTTGCATGATTGCTAATAGACTGTGTTGTAATTTGTGCCTCATTAATGTATGTTTTTGAAACCATACTTATTGGATTTCACATCAAAGAATGTGGTCGTCGTCTTTAGATTTTTCCTCGGTTTCATTCCATATCTTTCTGCACTGTACCACAGCTGTTGGCAGGTAGTGAAATACTTCTTAACATTGCTTCGCTAGATTTCATGTTATGACTCTCAGTAGCTTCTAAAGCCTTCAGATTGATTATGAAAATGATAGGATGTAAATGTTTCATATTTGAAGAATTGACAAAATGTAGGAAAATGTTCTTCCAAATTGAATGTTGTTATGAAACAGATTTTGATAGAGTATTATCAGTTCTCAGGTAAGAGGAATAAATTGTATCAGTTTCTGTAGTTCTGCACATTACACTTGTGTCACCAAATGATGTGGAATTAGAAGTGAGAAGGAAATGGAATTTTGATTGTATTAGGAATAAAGAGGTACCAGTCTTAGATGACTGGGGAATTTTTCTGTCTTGTGATTAATGGCCCTTTTGATATTATGATTATCTGAAACCATGTGGGAGTCTGATATTTGTAACTTTCTTACTGGTTTTTCTGGTTGTTTCATGAAGGTATATCAACTGCTTGTGTAGTATTAAATGAGGTGTGGTAGGATAAATGAAATGGTTTTGTACTGTTCTTAAATTACTGTAATGTCACTTATTTGATGAGGCTAAAGAAAACCATTAAAATATCAGTCATAATATCATACTGAAATATCCATGTTTTAAGGATGTTGGTAAATACTGTAAGAATTTGTTTTTTGGGCAAACTGGCAGGACTGTAGGGTTAGTCTTCTGAGTTTCTAGTGAGACATGCATGTGTTAAGCAGGAAATCCAAGCTCAAGACTGGCGTAGATTTTTGTATCAGTTCATGATATATGCTTCTCCAAATATTATTTTCATATTTTTGTGACATTCCATTGTCTGCTATAAAATGTATAATCTGAACTAATTTATTCTTTTAATTTAAAAACTAAATTCTACTAAGCAGTTCAGTTTCTGGAGTTTAAACATAATTATGGACAAAGTGTTCCTGTTAGATGATGTGTTAATGAATTTCATGATTATACAGTTAAAATGTTTTCAGTAAATGTACATTATTGTTTCTCAAGGTCATGATGGAGGAATCTTTACTTACCGTTTCAATTAATTCGATAAATTTAACGATAACTGTCCACCACATCAGGGATACCATCTGAAACATAATATAAGCATATTAATATGTGGAAAACTGAAAATGTTTTCATTATTTATGTCAGTTAAATAGTGCAATGAATTTTTTGATTTGCCAAATCTCTGAGGCAGTATCAGTGGTAAGTCATCTTATCCATTAAAGAAGTCCTAGTCAGCAGTTTAAATTAGAATGCAATCGCATAACACTACAATCTTATATTTGTGCTGCCATAAGCACTAAGATGAAACCATATTTTATACATACTGTATATAGCATAGCTAGATAGGCTGGTTATGAGGGGAAAGTGTCAGAAAGCAATATGGAAGGCAACAAGTGTGTCCACGTTATATAGTTTATTTAACAACATTTCAGTAGCTCAGACTCTATAGTATCAAGTGAGATGGTGAATAATGAATTTGAAAGGATGTGAAAGGAATCAGTCATGGCCTAATTCAAGGTACTGTCCTGGCATTTGCCTGGAGAATCTGAGGAAAATCATGAAAGACCTTGGTAAGGATAGCTAATCTCCAGGCTAAGAATTGAACCTTGGACCTCCTGAATATGAAGCAGTGCTACCACTTGACCGTGATGGTCTGTTCATTTTCTCTGAAGTGAATGAGAGGCAGTCATCTCAGTTAAGGCTACGGCAGGTGGTTACACAGTTTTATCTCCATCGCTGTGAAGGCTGGTCAAGCTGTGAAGAATTCACATTACCAACGGAGGATCATAACGAACCATTCATTGTCACTTGGTGATTCTAGGAGCTGATACTGGTGTTTGTGTCGGCCCAGGACATGCAGTGGTGCCATAGCAAGGAGACTGATATGTTCATTTTTTTTTTCAAAGTGATGTCTGCAGGAAATTCATTCAGTTCCAGCTGCAGCGACCATTTGCTCTGTGACACGAAGCCACCACAGATACAGCGTCAACATGATCTGATTAGGGTATCTGTCAGTGATGATCTGCCAGGAAAATCTTTATCAGTGGTACTACCAGTTCTCCACTTATGTTCTTTTACTGTTTTCCTGTCTTTGTGAGGTGCAGGATAACTTTGTGATCACATGGTACAAGCACACCAACACCTGATCACTTGCTGCATCCCTTACTGGTGATGTAATGATATATAGCTTACAACGAGGTTGTGCCTTATTTCAATGCCTTTTCCTATTGTCCTGGAAAATTCTGTTAGGAAGAATAATTATCATATATTTGAATTTCCCTGACATGTCAGCTTTAAAAGCAGTTATGTTAGTATGTTAGTACTTTAAAAAAAATAGTTAGTTGCCAACACTGGACTTCCAGATTGTAACAGTATAGACTTGTAGGTAGGTACCAGTGTTTTGGTGGAATATACTGTCCCTTCTTGATCATAAAGTAAGAAACATTGCAAAGATGTAAAAGTGTAGGATAATGATTGGATGTCTTGGGATAGGATTGATTGTTTGGCTTTGATTTAAGCAGTAATGAACACTAGTTGTGTATGAAAGAGACGATCGGTTGATTAACTAGCTATTAAAATATTACGATAAAGCAAGAGCTTACCCTCATCGACTCTGGATCGTAAGAAATTTCCACTGGTTCACAGCCAAGACTAAGTCGAGTTGTCCAACCAGATGTCAGTATCTGCATGTTAATCATTGTCAAAATTAAATTAACTCATTCCAGTTCTATGAATTGAAAGATTCTGAATCGGTCATGCATGGCCCATGAATGCGTGAGATCTGCTGTTCTGCAGTGTCATTGCCCCTATTTACAAACATTTATTTAATATAATATTTTGAATTTCTTTTCCAAACTAATTTTTGCTTTGCAATTGTGTTTTATAAAATTATTCTTACATTAGTATGATGTTGAATTAATTTGAAAGTGAGTTATAAGTGGTGAATAAATAACGAATATAAAACGGGCAGTAACAGTATATTTGAATTTGTAATACTGACATTTATCTAGAAAGACTGAGAAAAACTATGGTAGACAATAACCCTTTCTACATTCAAGATATGTACTTCTAGGATGATGCGTTACTGTCGCACAAATCATGTTGGTATTATAATCATTTTATATAATGCGTTGTGTGTGAAGGTTTTGTCTTTGGTTAAATTCCTTTTCCAGTAATATATTAAATATGAATATAAATGTTACGTACCCCATAAAAGAGCACTGCCGAGCAAACAATCTGTACAATGTTGTATATCTGAATGATGGTCTTAAGGCTGTATGGTTTTCGTTTCTTCATGTAAGATGGTCCAAACTTCAGTACAAAGTAGAGATAAATAAGTAAAATGACAACCAGTGAACGTGGATTTCTCATGAGTGTCCAGTTAGTTACACGTGGATCTGAAATGTATAACCTCAAATGTTATATGCCCTACTAGTTCCTATATTCAGATGGTTGAAAGATCGTGGCGAACAATTTCTATTTTATTCTTGCTGGACCGTAATGTACATACTTCAAATAAATGTTGAATTACATGGTTAACACTGAATATATTAATTTCCATTTATCATTAGTCTAATTATAGAGCGATATATTTCCGATTGTATCGTAAATTAGTTGTGGGAAAAAGTAAACAAACACTGGTGCAGATATTGTTATTTATTTTGTTTGCTTTTATATTTCATAGATATAGATATTTTGTTTTGGGGTATGATTTGACTTATCAAGTAATTTGGTTTCGGATTTGAAAATGCTGTACTCATTTGCTCATTTTGAACCTGTATTGCAAAAAACAATGGGACCTTGAGTATCTGAACTGAATCAGACTGTAGCTCCCTTATATAATGGAAATGTCAGATAACAGAAACTCATCTTTATCCCCTTTTGGAATTCATTTATTGTAAACAGTAATTGCAATAACAATTCCACTCATTAATTTTAAAAGTGACTTTTTTATATAAATTTCTAAATTGACGTATTTTTACATGATAATAAAATGTTTAAAAGAAAATTAAAAACATGGAGTTTAGCCAGTTTTTTAAAAGTGTTATGTTCTGCCATTTACCCCGCTCATTTAATAGATACCTTGGCAAGCTGGAACTTGGGTAATCGAGGCCTTTCTGTATTCATATATTCAGCCTTATACTCGACCATACTCACCTCCATATGAATCTGGTAAATCATTGTACCTATCCAGTAAATTTTGTAATAGTGTTGCCATATCTTTCCTGAGCCAAGTTTCTCTGAAAATAAATGAATTTTTATAAAACCTGTTTTTGAAAAACATCGTTATGTATATCAGTGTGTGGGTTAATATTACTTCAGAACGGAAAATGAATATTACTCTCCCGTTTCTGCTACAGTTACGTGGTTGCACTCTGATAGATTCTATTTATTTATGGTTTATTAAAAAATGTGTTCAGTAGCTCAGGCTGTGGCATGATTTAAGGTGCCATCCTGGCACGTATGTGGAGGAATTGAGGTATACTACAAAAACTTCAGTCTGTGTACTTGGTCTCGAGGCTTAAATTTGAACTTGGGGCTTCCTGAATAGGAAGCAGGAGTACCAGTCATTCAGCTGTGATATTCAGTATGGCATTTTCAAAGTAATATAGTTAATTTACTTTTAACATGTAAGAGATGGACAATATATTGTATGCTTTTGGGTATTTTGTTTGTTAATGTGTGGCATCTCAGATCTCATGTTTCCTCTCTTCTTAATATATGATTTTATATTTTATTGATACGCTTACCTTTATCTGGCAAGATTAAATCACTATTTTAACACTGACAGTGAGGCTGTAAGCTCGTGAAAACCGCTAAGAAATCCACCTATAACGTGTACTCCATGACATATTCTTACCAACTGTATTTCTTCTTCATAAAATAATGAAGTATGCATTAGCGTGCTTACCGTGAGAAATAATTTTGAATTGTATGCATAATACTTTGAAATGCACTTACATCAAAAATATTTTATGCATTTGTTTTACCAAGGATACACCGCAGGTCAAAATGTTAAGAGGTATTCAAACATATTTTCAGATGACGTAACATATTCTGTGGTAGTAGCTGAAGTATTTTGTGATTTCTATAGCAAATTGGCAGAAAATAATGGTGGAATTGGAAGACGTCAGTGACGTTAAGAAACCGACGCATGCATGCGTCCATATGTTATCGGCCGTCATCTATAACAGTACTCAATACTTCACATTGTGTGTCTATTGAAATAATTTTTTTTTTACGTAATGCTGAGACGGTCTTTTCGTTTCAGTCAAAAGAAAAAATGGTACGAGGAGTGCGAAGGGGCTGCGTGAGGCTGAAAGGTGCTGTCATAGGGATAGACGATGAAGATGATAGTACTTTTACTATAACTGTGGATGGAAAGACTTTCCATTTTCAAGCACGAGGCGCTGAAGAGCGGGAGAAATGGATTCGCGCCCTTGAAGATACCATTCTTAGACATGCCCATAGGGTGAGTTATTTTTTTACCATACAGCTAGTCATAGATGATGAAGTTTTATTTATATATTGTATATTGATGTAATAATATAGCTAAGACTCTGAAATGTATGTTACAGAGCTTAAACACATTTGTTATGTTATCATGAATAACATATCCATGAAATGTATTAATATATCATATATTAGGGTCCTTTCCCAGGGTTAAAGTATGGACGTGGTGTGCTGATGACCAGTCACCCACTTCTCGTACTGAGATTAAAAATGACTTGGAATATACCTCCTCTCGACTCTGCACCTACGTGGCATTTAACGGGATGGATTTTTATCAAATATAGGCGACAAATACCATGGAAAGGCTAACATTTAAAGTTTCGTGAACATTCTGAACCTTTAGGTTACGTGAAAACAAGTAATTTCATGATCAGACACTCAGAAAACTTGATTTTAATTGTGTGAAATGTTATTGTCCTCATATGACCTAAGGATGGCCGCGAGTGATATCATTATATAAAATATACAACGCATCTACACATGCTTGCACATCTCTACCCAAGATTACACGAAGATAGAATTTTCAAAAGAATGTAACCTACGTACGTACTGAAACTTGAAAACCGTCGGACTTTTACCAGACTACACAGCGCTACGACCCAGAAAACAGCCATCTTGTACTCAGTGCCACGAGAACCTCAAATTGTACCGGAAACCTTTTAGAATTTCGTAGATGAAACTTATACAACCTACGTGTCAGTTTGAAACTATATCGAAATAATCTCCAACACTTGATTTGCAGTTTTTTAATGAAATGTATTTTATCTGGAAAGCCGTACCAACTGCAATATTTTAGCTTGGTTACCATTTAAATAAATAACCTAATTTTGAAAAGATCGATGTTTCTACATTGCACTCGTGAGTTGCCGAATTGCAAGTAAACGCTATCTCGTGGAGTGTGAGATTCACATACAGACGTAGGTTTTTGTCATGTGTTCTTGCGTGGTGGTAGATGGAGTATAGGTGTCGTATTGCATTTCCAGATGCGATGGGACCCCAACAAACCCCCACCCACAGTCCACGAGTTTGATAAAAAACTTATAGAAGCAGATGCATATCTACAAATTCTTATCGATCAACTAAAGGTAAGAATACTTTGAACTCGTTAGGTTTCGTAATATATTTAACGCGCTAGCTCCCATGAAGGTCACACCAGTGGCTCGTGTTAGCACGAATTTCAATACTGCAGGAGTCAGCATTGGGTCACGGGAATGTATAATTTATTGGGGGCTCAGTCTTCGTGGAGTGAAATAATGTTTTTGTAAAGTCACAGCTGGGATAGGAAATTTGCATGATGTTTATTGGAACCACCAGAGTATTGCGTGGTTCATACAGTGACAGTTCCAAATTTATTTTTCCGGCGAAGGATGACGTTCACTCATGGGTCATGGTACGACATTTATGACAGTAAAATGTTTCTTGGGAGCCAGCATATTAAGTAGGCTAATAACCTTATGAATTGTTTTACTTTTGATTAATGAGTCTGAAGCAAAGACTGTGGTGAATTTCGATATGAAGTTTTGTACTGATGTGATTTATTTTTTTGATAACTGTTATTTTAGATTTATTAAAATTTCTTTTGGGTAATGTAAAATATTGATGTCTCATTTTGTGTGAAATTAATGCATAATTTGGAGATATTTTCTATCCATTTGTCTTCATGTTTTTTCTTCAAAATTACTGAATTGAATTACGCAAAATTTGGTAGCTGATATTTACAGTTGGATGTTGGGCGTATTTAATTTTGATCTGAAATCAGACTTTAGAAAGTTTGTTAGAAGTGTTCTTAGTATAAAAATTGTATAATATTAAATATAGGTCAAAAACGTTCTGAGCTTTTGTGGTGTAGTATTATCTGTAATGAGGTTAACTTTCAGATAATAGATCTAATAAGACAAGCAGTCGTGAAAAGATTGCATTTGAGAAGTACGTTTAGTCCGCTGTTAACTCTTTAAAGTACAACGTTAGCATTTATGATAACCTACTTTAACATTTAGTAACTTTGAATTTTGTAATACAGAATATGTGTATAGGTTTCATATGAGTCAGAATAAACAGAAATTATTTCCCTAAACAGCATTTAATGACTGGTCTTTGTAATGGAGAAGTATTGTGTTTTCTTTGAGGTAGGAACTAAATCTTAAAATATTATGTAAACGAACTATGTGCTTTAATAAGTTAAGACATGTCAATTACATTCAGTTTGAGAAATTGCCAGGTACTCTTGATATTACAGCCCTTTTAGAATAATTTATAATATTTAATAATTGAACTGAATTAAGTTCTTTTCAACAGCCAGAAGGTCAAGAACAATATTAATAATAGAAGAGGGAAATATTAATCATTATAATAACTCGTAAGTTTATTTCAGCCGTCTTGTCTAAAATATTATTTTCTTCAGTTACTGCCAGTGCCAGAAAGCAGTTTAAAATAGTGTTCTTTCATCAACATCTTTTGAGAACCAGCACTCACGTTACCCCTTTGCATTTAAGTCCGTTCAGCCCCGTCAAAAATTTTAAATAGGGTACAGTATTGTTCATTGATAATATTATTCCATGTTAAATATTTTTTCGCTTCGTAATTGTATTATGGGTATCGTCGTGCTTATAATCTTATGAAAAGTATTTCACATTAAGTATGTGATTTGGTTAGACCTACATATGAGCTGTATTTATTGTTCGAAAATGTATGTAGACGTATCTGCGATTACGGACGCTAGAGCAGTTTCTATACTTGTCACGAGAGCATACAGAATTAATGTAAAATTACATTAATATTTATTAGTGCCACATTTCATAAACATTAATTGATTTAGTACAATGGAGTGGTCTTGAAATAAAATATGCTGTTTCATAATAGGTTATTATGTAACGAGCATGACAAATGTATTTTCCTTTTAAAAATTAATGAAGAGTGTTATACTGTTTCTTTGCAGTTAGTTTTTAAATTAAGGTTTATACTTTCTTGACCTTAATTACACTGATTACCGGTTCCAGTAGCTCTGTAATCTGTGGCACGTTTGGTATTTTATTTCCTGGAACACGGACTGTGGGTTTGAACCCCGCTCGGGACATTACTGTTATGTTATACAGTTAGGTAGAGGTCTTGCAATGGGTTGATCATTCGCTAAATGATTTATAACATATATTTAAAGAACTATTTCAGAATCAGTTATGTTGGAACAGGCCAGTGGACCTTGTGTGTTATACCTGGAAAATAAGAAAATTTTATTAGGCATAATTTAGTAGAATTTGTATTTTCTACCTTGGCATTTAAATAAATTTCCCTCATTTGTAACCATGTAGTCAGGTGTCTGGCTATTCTGACGAAGTTATTTTGTTTTAATCGTCAGTCTCCCAAAAAAAAATGCCTTGAAATAGGCCATGACCGCATCCTTCCATACCCTTACCTGCTTTTCATCGTCATTTCATCCCATTAATCATTATAGGCCCTTTCATATAAGAAACTGAAAAAGAGTAGGTAAATAACTGAAGAATTAATAATCTTTGAAAAGAAACATTTTTACAGAAATTCTGTCAAAGTTCATGCCGATACAACAGTCAACGTTCCTCAAATAAGCGTAATATAAACCTGGTTCGTCATTGGGGAGAGTAGGTCTCGAATTTCGGACGGAATTACGTTTTTAATGTTTTTTTTATTTTACATATTCTGTCCAATATGATACTCGATAGTTTCCTCGATTCTTTATAGAACCATTCAAGCTGATGATAGTCTTAATACTTCAACATCAAGTCCTTACCTCAAATAAAACACAACTCATAACCACTACAAAATCATTTGTTTAAGGAAGTAATTTCTGTTTACTCTGAGTGTCATATGAAACTGTCAAAACTTCAAGAGTTCCAAATCATCATGTAGTCTAATACATGCCGTATAAACGTACAGAGTTGATAAACAATATGGAAAACATCAATGTTAAGCTATATTGATCGATATGGAGTCTTTGCAGACGTAGATTTTTTACGATATTTAATGAGGTTGTTATGATTGTGAAGACGTCAATAATAACGCCATGTGGACTTGAAAGAAGATTCCAACCTCAGTATCTTTCTCCAAAACTTCGGTATTTACCTACAATTAACCCAGAAGAACAATATCAGCATGGATGATGATGATGATGTACTTCTGGGTCTTGGCACCTCGTAGTCAGCAGATGCCAATGTTTCGGAGAACAATACTGTCTCCATCTTCAGTCCTGACGACGAGTCTACATGGCGCGAAAACGAAGAAGGACGTCATTATCCTCACCATGTGAAAACCTCAAATCTCACCCAGTCGGTTTTTATGTTTGCACAAACAGACTGAAGTGAGGATGTCAGAATCTAAACGAAACACGCCTGCACCCAAAGACTACGCCGATCACTGGAGAGTACGTAATTTCCATCAAGGCCATTTGATATTCTGATATTGAACTAATAATTTGTTTATTTTTATTTAGGCATTAGAAGTCAGAATGGAAGGTATGTCGGATCTCGTTGAGAAAGCTAGGTGTCAAGTTATTCATGATCATGCTAATGTGAGTATACAATTGTTTGGTGGTTGTTATTACTAAATATTTGTAGGTGAATAAAAAAAATTGAAGGTTGGGGGGGGGGGTATTTTAGCTTTTGACAGAATAATTACACTGTAATTCTTGTATGTAGTTGCCATGCATTTCGACGTCTTTTGTCCGATAATCTGCAAATTTCATGATTAAATCAGAATAAAATATTTTTATTTTTGGTCTTAATACGTTTTTGCATGTTTCTTCCCATAGTTAATGCTGATTTCAAGTTCAGTTTCGTTCGTGCTGATTCATTGCTTGTCCCAGATATGCCGATGAATCTACTTCTTAATCTCAGCATTTATTACAGTCAGTGCCTGCTCAAAATTCACGTCATCAGCATTATTCTCACCTTCTTTGAGCGTTTCCATCCACTTGTAAGCCTTACTTTGTCGTCATACTGTTATCAACGTCAACTTCTGACAACATATTACAGATTCTTAGTAGTTTTTAGCATTAACAGTGATATCAAAACCGTTTTGAGGGCAATACATTTTTTTTACTATTTTACTTTAATTTTCATATCCATTGCAATTTTTTATTATCTGGGTTGTTAATTGAATGATGTGTTTTCGTGATTTTTGATTGAACTTGTGTCTAGTTGTTTCTGATTCTGGTACAATCCTCTTTGCAGGATATGTTAGAGTCCATAAAACACTCTATTGTCATGCTTCAGATAGCCAAGGTGAGTTTTTTTATAATCGTATATTACTGCTGATACATATTATGCTTGTAGTACGTTTGCTGTGCGGTAGACGTAGTCCAACGTAGTTTATGCTAATGGCGAACAACTGGTTTTACGCAAGTCAGTTTAAAGAAAAGGAGAAAACTTTATCAGGACTGGAGGCCAATGTTAACATTTTTATTTTACTAAATAAATTTCTGGTGCACATTTATTTAAACAAATTAGAAATTATATACGTAGCGTAACAGATTTGATATTCAGTTTATGTGTCTTATAAATAGTATACGTTTGTGTAGTTTGAGGGACCTTGAAGATGTGCTGTGATGCTGTGTGGACAAACATATTGTATTTGTCTTCAGGGTTGAAAATAGAGACATTATATTCCTCCAAAACGTTTATATCTATCTGTGAGCGACTTATTTCACTGAAGGAGTTAGCAAGGACTTCTGAAACGTCGGTAAACGTCTACCAGGCTAGGTGCAACATCCTGGAATGCAGTCATTTTAATACTCTGCTGTGAGAACCTGAAATCTCACTTTTTGTGTCTTTGACGATACTGGTCTTCTGGGTTGGAATATTTCGGAGAGAAACATTCTGCCTCCATCTCCAGGTTCCTAGCCTAACCAAACGTGAGCTGATGTGACCTCACTTCAATCCTAAAGTTGGAGGCAGTATGTTTCGAAACGTACCGACAAGCCCACGTGGCTTTACAACTCAGAAGTCCATCAGGATCTTTGCCGATGTGAGAACCACGGCTGTATTTTTTGTATTCTTTACCTTGAACAGTTGCTTTCACGATTGTTGGAAAAAGGGGGGGGGGCTTTTACTGCAGGTTTCTATTGATCTGCATGCCGCATTAGGATGGTAGTTAGCCCCTTTTGGTCTACAGTACGGAGTGGTCTCTCAACTGTTGCAGAACACGGCACATCCAGTGAATGGAATCTACCACTCTACGGACACTTCCCCGTTGTCTATGGACAATAGCCAAGCGTCCGGCAAAGATATACAACATGAAGGTAAGTGTTAAAAAATTTTATTCACGAGATACAGAAATTTTATAGCACAGTAAAATTTTCATAGGTGATATAATATTTATATGCCTATTGCATTTATTGTTCCGATAACTTTATCACTGCTGAAGTCATTATTACGCAAACAACGTTTAAATAATTGATAAACCACTATTTATACGCTGTTAGTATTGATATTTAACTTTATGTAGTCTGTAGCATTTTCCATCATCTCTTGTACTGATTATAAAGTAATAACTGTTGTGGCAGATTTAACGTATTTCCTGTGGTTTCGTAATCTATCTTGTAGATTCGTAATCCCCCAAAGATTATGGTGCTTTGGTTAAGTTCCGTGTGCAAGAATTAGAATTAACAATGATGAATCACGTGTTAAATGTTTTTACATTTCCGTACGAGTATTATATCTCGTGTTATACACGTGGAATACGAGCGTGCTTTTACAGGCATGCGTATTGTAATTCTGTTGCTTTCAATACGTGACATATGCCAGTGTTCGTCTGAATTTATGACGCCTGTAAATACATGGATTGGATCCAGCTACATTTATAAGAGACGCTTTGTCTACCCAAACTTTTTGGAACAGTGCTATTACTTCCTAGTAAAAAACTTGGAAGATATAGTAGTGTAGCTTGGAAGTTCGCCATTTTGTGTGGTGAGAAGTGAGAACACTTTCTAAAGATGTTGTTTTCATTCCTGTGTGTTATTGTTTGTGTAAAGCGGTACAGTCGAGTCATATTAAGATTTTTTTAAAAATGTTTTATGACAATTTTGATTCAAGGTTTTACTTTACGAAGAAATTATAATTGCATCTACTTTAATTTACCACTCATGGAACGTAATGTTCCTACAAATTCGAACGTGTATCCCATACGATATACATCACCCATTTTTATGTGAGTGTAAAAACACTAGGATTGTATTTTATGCACAGATACACCAATTTTAAACCCATGGATGGCACCAATTAAAAGTGCACTGTATTCGTGACGTTTCGGAGATCCGTACTGTGTCTATCTTCAAGTCGACAGTGACTTCCCTGTGGCCCTTTCCAATACATACGTTACGCGCCCAATGTTCGGACATTGGTTTGAATGTAAATCTAATTAAATTGTTGTTTGGTAGTAGGAGTACCTAAGTTTGGATCGTCATTGGTGTGAACATGAAATGAATATTCGAATATCTTACAAGATTTAAGGGACGAGATGTATTCCGGAAGTAAGTTGGTACCGCTCGGTTTTTTCTTTTTTGTTTGCTGGAAGTTGTAGTCTTTGCTTCTCGCTGTGTGATTGAGGTTTTTGCTGTGAAACGATGTTTTTTTCTGGATTGTGACGCACAGCAACGCAACTAGCAAGAACATCGCAATTTCCATCTGGTTATCATCTTTCTACGAGTCTACACAAAGTTACATCACAGAGTAACATCGACTTGCTCCTCATTTTTTAAATATGAGATTTACTTTTGAAGGAAATTTTTACTTAAAAAGGGATTTTGATGTTATCGATTCCGCTGTAACTGAGTTTTGTCTCATTTCGAAAATGAAATAGACTTCATATACCAGAGCAGAAAACAACAAGAATTTCTAGAATGTTTCTGTGTTATCCTCAAGTTTTTAGTACGTGTTCGGGTTCTTCTCATGCTGTTTGAAATTCGACTTGTGAAACGTTGTTTAAACATGCGATGTTACCGCCCAAAAAACTGAAGTTATGGACAGTCAGCGTAATTTGAACATTAAACGGAGGTTAGGGTAAATTTTCATATCCATTCTCAGCGTGTTCCACGTATGAACGTTAAAATTGAGTAGTAAACTATTCTACGACGACATATGATCTACTGAGGCTAATTAGAGCATCGTTTGGGTCCGAGGTTCGAAGATGCAGTCGTTGCTTGTTGTAAATTACTGCCCGTGGAGGTCGCATGTAGAAACTGAGAAGAACCAGGAAGCTGTTGAGATAGTCAGAAAAATATGGTGCGGTTAAAATGAGCATGGCTTCGAATACAGTATACCATTTGCGCCACAAACCGATACAGCACGTCATGGTTTAGTCCTTAGCACTCTTACGTCGTATCTGACAAGTCCCGGGTTCGGTTCTTGGCCCAGCTGAGACACAGGTAAAATTATCCCTGTGTCCCAATGGACTTAACTAAGCACCACGTCTTGGTGACTCTCGGAGGAACTGAAGTACATCTTCTTGCAGTCAGTTTTGGCACTTGACAGAGTTGAGTGTTCAGGCTCCAGCCGATTTACCCCTGTAAAAGGAGCCTACGGTAGTGGGCTGGGTACGCCCGAGTCGGTTTGAATGTGGTGGCGAAGTTACAAATTCCTGCCACTGCCGGGAATCGAACCCCGGCCAGACTGAGACCGTGCCTTGAAATAGGTCGCGATCACTTTCAAGTTTATCCCAATTAATCGTTTGTAGTATCCTTTCATTTGAAGCTACGTCCAGCGCAGGAAGACACTAAAAGAGTAACTCAGCACAGTTTCATTAAGCACGCATTAACTAGCCTCAGGGCTGTGTCTCTGCGAAATGGCGAGATACAGTCCATTTCGAGAATATATTAAATTATCTGCGGCATTTGTTAATAAATAATTTTTTATGTTTCTTATATTGTATTTACAATTCTTTTATTTTTTTTAACGTTTTGTGTGGTTGTAACTTTAATACCTTCTTCTTCTTCTTTACGTCTCTTTGCTGGAAGAATAGTTTGCTGTTGTATGAATAGGGGTTGACGTGTCGTCTATGGGCTGTGCTGTGTTCCACGATGAGGAGGAAGCAGAAGGCCTTCAGACGGGAATTGAAGTGGGAGACGAGTGTATGGAGACGAGGCGACAGTGTCCTGGGGCTACCGCAACGTCTCGATCATCACTTTCAAGTGAGTGCTCACGACAAAGTGGTGCATGTTGCTTTTCAAGTTCTTTTGCTTCGCTCCTGTACTTTATTTCGTCCTGGTAGTGCCAAGAATCCGTAAGGTAGGACTTGAATTGCTGAGAACAGATTATACCTGGTGATACGTAAGAAGGGATCAAGTCAAGACCCTTTTACTGAGAAGCTAAGATAGAAAACTGAACTAAACCATAGTTCCTTTGTGATTTTATGCTCCCCCGAATCAGCGCTCAACCCTACCCGTCTCGAAATAACTTCCATCGGTCGAGAGTCAGTGTTTGCTAGGCTTTTTCGAATAGTATTTTTTTTTCTTTCGAACATTGACAGTTGTTCCCTCCGCATCCAGACGCCTTTTGTAATGTGGAGCTCAAATGAAGAGCTGACAGTATTACAGTCCTCAGGCAGAACTGGGGCTTGCTACGTCACACGTAGGCGGGGTAATTGGTCCTTAAAAATCGGTAATTTCAACAGCCTTTATTCTGAGCCAAGTGTAGGGTCAGAGATGAAACCCCTAATTTAGGACCCGGGGGGTGTGATAATGTGCTGCTTTGTCAGGGTCATCGTACACCTCCTGAGTAGGTGACAAGATGGGTATGGATTTTCGGATTTTCTTGTTTAAAGCATGTGAATTTTCTTGCATTGCATTCCATCTTGCGCTGTGTGTTGCCAGTTTGGTTGTAAAATGCTGTTTCTTGGTGGTGATTGTCTATGGCTTTGACGATCAGCGTTTGATTCAACTGATGGATAGGGATTTTTGTAATAGGATTTGAGGTTTTCACGGTGGTGAGTACAAAAATGGCTGTCTTCTGGGTTATCGCTCCGTGTAAGTCTACTACAATCCAGAAGACAGCTGTCTATCTTTGTCACAATGTTAAGCCCAGTTCTGGGCCCCGCTAATTCTCCCAATTCCATCCGATGGAGCCCTTTTACCTGGAGGTAAATCATCCAGAAAGTGAAACTGATCACTCATGCCTGTCTAGTGCCAAAGTAAAGAATACTAGGATGTGTACACCCTTTACTGTGTACTTCCGGTGTGAGATGTTGACGATTTATCGTTGTTTCAGCCCGTTGAATAATAATGCGATAAAGACCACGACTGACGTGGACGGGTCCACAAAGTGTTCTTCACTTCGTCCTACTTAAAAAAACGCCTAAAAGGGAAACATTTTGTCACATCGCGACTGACTTACGCCGTGATTTTTCTTGGTTACTGAATATAAAATAGTTGGAAGTTAACCCTTTAAAGCTAAGTGGTAACTATATGTACCATCTGCACAAAAAATACCAGTAAAACTGCTTTTTTATATTTATGTGTTTTGTGTGATTCTTACTGTAAATAGCGATTATTTACTTAAACAGCGTCAACGAATTGGTGTTTGTAATGATGGAGTATTGTGAAGATATCCGTCTTCTGGGTTATTGCGCTGTGTATATGAATATGAATATTCATCGCCCTGATGACGGAGGCAGTATGACCTCTGAAACGTTGGTTAAGATCGACCAGACTACACAGCGCAATAACCCAGAAGACGGATATCTTCATACTCACCGCTGTGAGAACCTCAAGTCTTACATGGAGTATTGTGTTTTCTCTGAGGTACGAACTAAATTAATAAGGAATTGTGACTGTCTCGTGGAAAGGAACACAGACTATTAGTTGCTGCTTCAGCTAAGCGTCTTCGTAGAAGTTTCGCATTGCAGCTGGAAACATCTGCATACGAGTAAATCATTTAATGAAGACAAAGAAAACTTTACACGTACATGTCTAAGGAATTGAACACACTGCAGTAGGAAGTACTTGAGTGGTCAGGATAATTTAAACCATTTTATTCCTAACACTTTCAGACCCTTATTGCACATTTCTGTTGGTCAGGAAATTATACACAGTATTTCCTCGATTTTAAGACACACTTTCTTCACAGATTAGAATATCTGAAATCGTGGTGCGTCTTGCATTTGATGGCGTCTAAGAATCGATGTCAAAAAATTGTACAGTATGACCGAAGCGCAAGGGAGATATTTATGTCCATAACAGTACTCATGGGACAGTAGACACGAAGAGAGCTAGAAAGTAGATTCAGAAAGTTTTTGTACGGAGAAGTTTTGTGTTTTAATATTGACAATTCATATTGTAATATACGCACTTTCATTTCCTGAAAACCTGTTACAAAATCAAGGGTGCGTTCTTACAATCGATAGCGTCTTAAAATCGACGAAAAATATTATTTCTCGTTACTTCATAACAATTCATTCTGAATTAATGGATAGGTCCCTGCATTCGGAATTAATCGTAGTGTTTATTTCCGTCAAATAATGCAGAGAAGTCGAAGGGGGAGGAATTTTAGAAATAAAATATAAATTTAACCATTATCCTGTTCTTAAGAAAACCCATAAATATCAATCTATCAAATCATTTTTTGAGTTGACTCCACAAAAGTGACTGTCCGGCTATCATCGTGACGTAGTTTTCCTCACACTCATGTAATTTCGGTACTGTGATATCCAAATAGATTGTAAAACCCTGTTCTTACTAAATACGTTCTTCGCCAAAAGATCTGAAGTTTTGTGATGCGTTAACAGTTGGTATCCCAGAGACTTTATCGTCACATAGCGTGTGATTGTGGTTGGCTAGTTGTGTCAACAACATTCTGTGATAGGTGATGACTATGCAAATGGTGTTGGTTTGCCCAAGCAGGATGTAGCACGTATGTATGTACGTCTGAATGGCTCATGCAATGGGAACAATAATCATCATTTACATATTAGAACCTGTGACATTTCTGAATACTTTTTATATTAATAGTTACGATTCAACAGAGACTAGCAAAAATTATAAATTATTGGATCAATCATAACCTCCAAGAGAGGTAAGAACGTAGACCCTGCAAATGCGGGACAAATGCGAAAGAAGAAGAAAAAACATCAGTATAAATTATGTGATTCTTTCTGTACGTATTATCTACCAATAGCAATTCTTACATTGTAGTTTATTTTCATAATTTACCTATTTTGCTTGTCACATTTGTCCTCAACCTCACTCCCCACTTTCTCGTCCTTTCTCTTGTATTATGACGCTTTCTGTCGTTTGGCTCATTGTCCATTCTTACTCGCGACTGAAGTTGTGTGACATCCACGTTTAACAGGTTTAACTTTGGAGGTTTGTTTTAGGTACTAGTCTTTTCGCGTCTTGGCGTTAACTGTTTGTTATATAAGTGAAAGAAGTTGAAGATATGTAGAACTTAATCTTGAAACCCATATGACACTGGATAGCTCTAAACTAAATAGTGGCGTTTGACATAGGACTATCGTGCATTTTCTAACGGAATGTTGATTACTGCTTGGGGACTGAGTGTAGCCTGTTCACAGCAATGATGAAAGCGTTCTATCGTGTTGGTATTATGCAGTTTCTTTAAAGCAGCAACAATATTAACAACGAAAAATATTATGATAATAGCCATGATATCCCAGTGGAAGAACACGTTGAGGGCGATTGAGCCATTATATCCCAGTCGAAGAACACGTTGAGGGCGATTGAGAACAGAGTGTTAGATTACGAAATAATTCCCAGACGAGCTACGCCTTCGAAGGGATAATAGTCAGTGTTCCATTTGAGGCATTTCATTTATACGGTACACGGTTGCAGCTCTGAGCATTCTTCTCCTCCTCTTTGAAGAGACAGGATGTTCGTCACCATCTCAGATTGTGAAGTGCTTCCTGCCTTTTTTCCCTAACCGACATTTTAGTTTTATCTGTGCCAGCCTCTTAAATGAACTTGTGTCAGTAAATAGCGTTGCATAATGTAATCATAATGCGTTAAGGTTTGTCGCTGTCATTATGATATGAGCCGTTCTGTGTTTTTCATGTCATAAAAACTTTTAATCTATGTTAAAGAAAGTGAGTTGAGTCTGTTACTTGGCGAAACGCATTCGTTTGTGCGAGACTGGGGAATTCATGTGTAATTTCACGGCATCTATTCTCCAACGTAGCTTTTATGTACTTCGTTTGCTGCACATAATGTATTTAACTGTGGTAAATCTATCGGTAAATGCATGAATGTCTCAGGTAAATCATAGTTTCTGTATCAATCCTCATTTCCTAAGTTTACAGCACATTCGGTGTATATCGGCTGACATTGTCGTTTGATCATTTCCTAAGGTTACAGCACATTTGGTGTATATCGGCTGACATTGTCGTTTGATCGCAAATATTAAATTAGGTATGTTGGTTTAATCATGAATGTGTGAAATGTGATGTTTTCATGACGTTGAAGGTGTTAATTTTATTCATCTTGGCTGTCGGTACTCGACCCAACCACACCCAACACAACAGAAATAAAACACCAGCGCAAATCATTTCCAAAATTTGCTCTTGAAGTTTCTAAATTTTGAAAATAAAATAATAATTGCAAAAATTTCGAAGATTTGAGATTTTTAAAAATATAAAAAATTTGGAATATTTTAAAATTTACAGTTTTCGTAAATTATAATTTTTCAAATTTTAAAATGTATTTTTTTATTTCTAAATTTTTCAGATTCTTAAAATGTTTTCTTTCCTTCATATTAATTGTTATTAATCATCCGACGCTATATAGACTGAGATAGTAACAATATCATTAAATAAGCCACAAGTAAATAAATTGTCGATAATTTATTTTGTAATTTTCTCGTTTCAAGGGAAAACTCGCTTAAATCAAGGAAAATACGTAAAATCCATGTTTCAGTTTACAGTCACTCGGTTTCTTCTGTAATGTTGTGCGTTACAGGTCTGACTGCCATTGGCACGAAGCACAGACCGAGCATGACATTGATCGTGCCAGCGACCTCTTACTCCAGTTCGGAAGAAGAAGACTTTTACGACGCCAATGAATACAACGACACCCCCAGCAGCTCGGCAAGTCCTACCATGTAAGTTACAGAACTGATTTATTGTTTTGTTTCACAATTTTCTTGAAATACTTATTTGGTAATTAATATCCACGTGTGTATGTGTGTGTGTCTAAAATTGTTGAAAATATTGAATAGCCCTGTAAGCATTAACCAATGTGATAACATGCTTTCAGTACACATAATGTCTATTGCCAGTTTAATCAATTTTAGCGCAAATGGACTCGCAGTAGCTGGATCAATATGGTGGTGGGGAGAGGGGGGGGGGCAGATTTTAGTTAGTAACGAGCCGACCTGCAGCAAAATGTCACGTGGCACGAGTCATCTCCGCCCACACTTCACTTTACTCTAAATAATTCTGAAAATTGCTCGAGTGCATTCATTTTTCTCGACCCATGACCTTTTATTTTCATGAATTAGTGAAATACATTCTTTTACGACCTGTCGAGAACAATTTAATTTCACTCAATTTTATAGAAATCCGTTCAGGAGTTTCGGAGATGAATCATGGAGGCGTATCCCCGAATTATATGTTAATTATACGTACTTAGTGCAAAGAATATAAGGTTCCATGTTAAAATATATTAATAATCCCGTTCTCTCGGAAAGAATTATGTCAGCTTCGCTGTCCTTGTAGTGCTGGTACGTTGTCCGGACGTAACTGGAGAAATGATTAGGCAGTTTTTGACGTAAATACGTCTATACGAAAGTTACCAAAAAATACCAAAAACTATTGCTGAATGTATGAGGGATAGATAATTAAGCAATGTCTTAATCAAACTATTCACTCGATTGTAAAGCATGTATAAAGGGAATATTTAGAATAAAGTTAATATATAAACTTCATTTTATTGTATTTATTGCCTAAATATAATTTAAATACAAAGACGTATTTACGTCAGATTCTCCGGAACCGTGGTTGCACTGTCAATTTTTTTTTGTGAAATAATATACTGGGGAGTTTTACAAAAGATTGTTAACACATTTCAGTTCTTTTTATAAATCTGACAACAATAACGGATACTTATGAAGATCTGTGCGCGTCTGGAACGTAACTGGCTCGTTAATAAGAAGACGAACGTGCCGGAATTGATAACGCTGTGTGTACATTCCTCAGCTTGTCAGACTGCAGGAAATTCCGTAGACTCGATTTCAGATTTCTCTGTGTAATTTTCTACTTCAGATTAACTTGCTTCATTAAGTATTTCTTTACCCCTTAGTAGCCGAAGCTTATCTAGTTAACATTTAAGGATTCAGTCCGTACCGAAAAGAAAACAACTCTTCACTATTACAACGATCAACTGGTTAATGCTGCTTAAGGGAAAAGAAATCATTGTTTACAGTGAGAATATAACGAAAGCCATAAATGTAAAACGAATAGTTATTTATTGTTGTAGCAGGTGACGTGTTGTTACCATTGGGCTTTAAAAGGTTAGTTTAATTAAAGTTTCAATACAAAGCAACCACGCCCTTGTAGTAGAGCTTTAAAAAAAACAACGCGGTCGTATAAATTCACTGTAAAAAAACCCTGCTTTGTTCCCGTAAACAATAATGATGTGACCTACTTTGATTGTTGAAATCAGACATATACCGATCATGGTCTTTTGACCCAGGATCGCAGTCGGATATGTTCTGAGAGGTTTGTTAGTGAGTAACTCACTGGTGGTAAAACCGAAAGATTTAGCATTGCTATTGTATACATTATTTTGCTTGACGTCTGAATTCCACAATATAATTTCCGCTTGAGCTCATTACAGCTTCGTTTATGCAGTAAGACAGCAGTTGAGGTATTCACCGGTCCAAAAAAACATTTTTTGTGACACGTATGTGTGTTGATTTTCACGATAATACTGAGCGAAGCATTCGTTTGTATTATAATACAACCACCCTTGTATTATATGCCGCATAAAGTTCGAACGAGGTACTTCCCGTTTGAGAATCAAGTGCTCATGAAACCTACAAAAATGCATACTTCTGCTTTCTTTATCCAGTAAACTTTATACGTATATAATCGACCGTCTGGTCTTGGTGTTCGTGTTGTAAGATACAAATCGAGCGCAAGTCAGTTGCACTGGCGTCACGACGCTTTGCGTCGTCTCCGTTATTCGGTTCCCGGAGAGACGTGGCCAGTCTGTCACGTGACCCTGCTGCCGCTGCTACGGTACTTCGCGCGTCAAGGCACCTCCCAAGGAACTGATCTTCATTGACGGGGTTCTTGAAGAGAAGACAGCTGATTTCATGTGAACGTTCTATTACGTCACGAAGCAGAGATACAGCTGTTTGGACTTTACAGTCTGTCCTAACACTGCCATGTGTTTTCGTATTTGATGTGTTTGTGGAGAGTGTGACAGGCCTAGATTGCACATCGCTTGCTTTATCTACTTGGAGTGGAAACTTAATATCTTTAAAATGTGTGTACTTTATCAGAGCGCACATTACCACTCGTGTTTAATTGTTCCTTTTCACACTTGTTTCAGTAAGATACTAGTCGAGATAGTGATATTTAATTTCGTTTGTATTTCTAGGGAATTTATTGGGGAATGCAATGTAGGTCTGAAAAAATACGAAGGACTTGGAAGAAAAGATTTAGAGATTGTTTATCGTTTTTGAGTTCTTGTATACGGTTTTTTTAAGAGAGAGATCATCAGGTGATAAAGTTTTGGTACCATTGGTTTTGTTCTTTGTTCTTTGCCAGTTTTTACAGTGATGTGGTATGACAGCACTTTTTATGTACGTGTTTGTAACGCCGTCTCATTGTGTATAACCTTTGCTGTTGGCAATTTATAACCATTCCCTTTGAAGATACAAGGTTGGCTTTCCTGACAGAGCTCTCTCTTAGTTTTGAAAGTTTAGTGGATTATACATTCGCACTCGTCTTGGAAACGTAACTTGAGAAGAATGGATCAGTTTTATCGTGACATTGTGATAGTACCAGTGAAGTTGAATGTGAATAATATGCGGTAGTGTCTGTAAGAAAAGGTTATGTCTCATTGGCAATGTCTGGCGTGAAGTGAACGACACTTGGATGAATAAGGACAACCATGCTTCGAATTCTCTCAGCACGATGGCCGTTCAGAAGGGACAGTATGAGGTGAGATGAAGCTCCATTTTTCGTGTCAGATTCAAACCCACTGTTTTAATCCAAATTTTCAATAACGTGGAAACCCCATATCACTTTTATCCGTGTAAAGGATGTAAATGGGAAGAAAGAATTTGAGTAAGGGAAACTGTAAACAGTTACACCGAATGGAAAAAACTTCAAGAAGATGATACATTAATTTATTAGCTTGTAGTTTGCCGGTCGGTTCCAGGGTAAAGAGATGTTAGTCCGTAAATTGCACAGAGGTTCGATCGTTTCTTTACAGATTACATTTCGTGTTACTTGCAATTCAGCAAAAATTATCACTCCGGCGTTAAATTCGTGTGTAAATTGTAATAATAATAATAATATTTGTATGCATTTTTAAAAATCAATAAACCTGATTTGTAAGAACAGAATTTTAATCATTAAATGATTTTACCTTTTTCATATTAGAGAATCTTTTTAAGCTACGCTACATGCTCTGTATTTTGTTTGCAGAAGAGTAATATGAAATGACTGCACAAATTACAGTGATGTAGGTTCAAGAAACAACGAAAATTCCTGGTCAGATTTGAGCTGCCATCATATTTACAGATCTTATTGACCCATTTTAGTGGGTTACGCCCATTTGTGGAGCCACCATCAGTGGAAGATTCACCAGAAAGCTTGGCTGAGCAGGAGCAGACATCATCAGGCGTCAATAAAAGGAAAGTTTCTGGGGCGCCAGCACCACCGCCAGTCCGGGATGACGGCTCCCTTGATTATGATGGTATTTATTTTATTCTTCAGTTTTTAATGTCTACCAAAATAAAATTGAATAAGAATTTTGTGTAAAGTTAATAATGAAAATAACTGTGTCTATTTCCAAGCAGGATTTGTGGTTCTTGTGGAGAGTACAAAGATGGCTGTCTCGTGATTCGTAGTGCTGTGTAGTCCGATAGAAGTTTACTGGTGTTTTAGAGGTCCTCGTTATCTCCATCATCAGGGCAATAATGGAGGCAGAAGGACCTTTGAAAACTGGTAAAAAATTACCAGATTACACAGTGCTAGCACCTAGAAGACAGTCAGCCATCTTAGTAATTTTTTGTACCCATGAGTTATTAATAGGTGCAGTAATGAATTCCTAGCACTGCGACGAGTCTTCGTTATTTAAAACATAATTGTAAGTTTATGGAGTCATGTTATTTTAACTTTCTTCCTCTGATCTAATTTGGAAACACTTTCAAGCCTTAATTAAATGGTTTAATTAGTAACACAAAATATATTCTCTTCTTTTCTGGTTTAACAATGTTTGTACCCTTTACGGCTCCCCCACTTTTTAGTTGGCTTGATCTATAGACATTTGGTAGGACTCCTTGGATGAGGGATCAGCCCGTCGCAAGGCCTCTACCTGTACACAGGACAGCACAACACAGAAAAACGCGGACAAACATCCATGGCTTAAGTGGGATTCGAACCCATGGTCCCAGTGACCAAGCGGCACAAGGCCCACGATAGCTACTGGACAGCCACTGCGGACCACTAAAAAATATATTAACACTCTTATATTTTCCCGGTTCCTACCGAAGTAAACATTTTCTTCTAGGGATCCCAAAACAGGATTTTAATACGATATTGGGCTTTAATTTTAGTCGACCTTCCTTCGCCTGTCGAGTTACTTAAAGCGTCCTTGCCCCCCCCCCCCCCCAATATGCCTTCATGGTGGTGTTTTTTTAGTTATTGCTATTACCATTACAGTTGTTTTTGTTTTCAATTTTCAGCACTTTATGAAGACGAGTCTGACCTTGACTGTAAGTAAATAAATTTAATTTTAATATAAATTAATGTAGGATAAAATGTCAGTACGGTTTGCATATAAAATTTTTAAGAAGTATCATTAAGTAGATATTTTTCTTACCTCTCGCATTGCTCATGAAGAACGCATACTTTCATTTTGAATAATGTGATTTTTTTTCTCGTAGAAATGACTGAGTCGGCGTTACAGTAAAGCGTCTTATGTTTCTGTCTTGTCAGTAGGTGGAATAGAGAACCATGGATCAGTGGTGTCACACCTAATCTCTCAGGTGAAAATCGGAATGGACCTTACCAAAGTAGTTCTTCCGACCTTCATCTTGGAAAGACGATCGCTACTTGAAATGTATGCCGATTACTTTGCCCATCCAGATATTTTTGTAAGGTAAGTAATCACATCCCAAGAGCTATGCTGGCGGTAGCATAGCTACTGGTAGGGCCTCCCTAGGGGGAGAGGTCAGACTAAGACAGGTCCTCCAGGTTGGGGGTTGGTCGTAAGGCTAACAACCTTGCACCGTAAAAAGGAAGATGTTTTGAAACCTTGATCAAAGCCTCGGACAGACGGACCTAATGGAGGAGGAGAATTGAGGAGGCCATAGACCGAATACGGACCAGAGAGCCATAGAAGAAGAAGAAGAAGAAGCTGCTGGAAACCAACAAACTAACTTTTTTCAGCTAGACAAGGCATTTCTCACCTTTTATAGAACCTGATTTTCATTAACCATGTTCACAAGCAATATCTACACGGAACCAGATGACACCTTGTTTCCTTATGAGCCATTTAAAATTATTTTTCCATCTAATCCTAGGTCTTACAGGTGGTTTTTTACTTTCAGGCTTTATATACATTTCTCATCTCCTTGATACATTTTTACACGCCCTTGTCACTGTGGCATGACATGTCTTCAAGCTGCATATAGGGGAAAGAGCCTCCAGATATGGAGGGTTGCTGTGAATATATTCAATAAGCAGTCATCGACAGCTGACTAGGGATGGTCGTTCATCTTGGGGGTTGGGTAGTTTGCTTACAACTCCTCACCATAGAAGACAAGCATATTTGTAAATGCTTAAAAATTTAGTATCATAGAACAACACATTTTTGCAGCTCAAAATTCTTAACTGCAGTTTGGAACAGCCTTAGTTCTCAAAGAATCACAGTTGCCACTTCTAGGGTTTACCCCGGGGCTCACCCAGAATCCTGTCGGGTGCCAGGGGCTGCGCAGAGGTGAAGCATCCAAATTAATATAAAGCTGACCTCTGACCTCCATAAAGTACTGAATTCAGTACGTGGAGTTTTGCCTTCACATTCCCCTGGCATGTTGCTTTCTACATCATTTAGATAGAGGCAGAAAGTTCCTGAAAAAATGTCGATATTTTTAATTCCTTGGCGTAACATTTACAGTGCCTCTTACGGTATTATGATTTTCTGCTCATTTTAGTATTTCCGACTTCCCGGACCCCAAAGATCGTATGGTGCAAGTGGTACGGTGGTATTTGTCAGCGTATCACGCTGGAAGGAAAAGTACTGTAGCCAAGAAGCCGTATAACCCTATTATTGGCGAGCTGTTTAAGTGCCACTGGGATATTCCAGGCCTGCCCCCAGATTTATCCTCACTAGTAACAGATGGGCCTGTACCCTGGTGTACAAAGAATCAGCTCACGTTCGTAGCAGAGCAAGTCTCACACCATCCACCAAGTAAGTTGATCTGTTCAGTCATGCCGGGATGTTTATATTTTGACACGCTTTCACAGCTTCGGCAGGAAGTCAAAACCAACGAAGGTGGTCTCCTCATATCAGTTGCAAAATTTCAACAAGTGACTCATAAGCGATCAGGCAGGACAAACACACAAACATGATGATATAATAAAGGTTAAAATATCACATATTATAATTGGTATGACAGACTTTCTCACAGTTTAAGCAATACACTAACTAAATGGCTTATTGAACCGAAGGTTCATCACCGAATTAACTAAAGCCCTCCATCAGACCCTGTCCTGGGCCAACAAAATCCAGTCTCTTTCAATTCCTATCTCCCATAGATCCCGCCTGACATTATCCTCCCATCTACATCTAGGTTTCCCCAGTGGTCTCTTCCCCTTACCCGGTGCACACCTCTTGTCCCGTCCATGCGCTCTACATGCCCCGCCCATCTCATTCTTCTGGACTTAATCACCCTGAAAATATTGGGGGAGGAGTACAGATTTTTAAGCTCATCATTATGCAGTTTTCTCCAAGCCCCATCATCTTCTCTCCTAGGCCCAAATATCCTCCTCAACACCTGCAATCTGTGTTCCTCCCTCTGAGTGAGAGACCATGTTTCGCACCCATACAAAACAACAGGCAAAATTATTGTTTTATGTACTTTAATTTTCAGGTTCTTAGAAATCAGACAGGAAGACAAAAATATTTTGAACCGAGAAGTAGCAAGCATTTCCGGAATTTAATCTCCTCCTAACTTCCTCATGAGTATCATTTGTTTAAGCAATACACAGTCAATTAATTTATTTTCCTAGTTGTTAAGAGCTTATTTATAAAAATACTGTTTTCTCATGTATTAACTCGTGTTTCAAATTCAGTTTCAGCCTTCTACGCGGAACACTATGACAAACGCATCAGTTTCTGTGCTCATGTATGGACTAAATCGAAGTTTCTCGGCCTCTCTGTCGGTGTGCATAATATTGGTCAAGGTTGCATCTCTGTGCTGGACTTTGATGAGGAGTACATTGTCACATTTCCTAATGGTTATGGCAGGTAATACTTTGACAGTGATTACAATTAGTATTAATTTGGTTAGTATCGGAATCTGAGAGATTTTTCTATGTTCAGTTTTAGCCCTTTGATCAAAATTGTCCTGCTAGATGCACATCAGCTGCTAATGTCGTCTGCAGGGACTTGGACATATTCGAGACGAAAATTGTCACACTTCTTCACATTCTATAATGGTATAATTTACTTAATTCATTTATATTATTTTTACAAATATCCTAATATATTTACTTGCAATTTTCTTGTGTATTAATGTCCTCCGTATTAATATATTTTATATTCTGCCTGTTTTACCTTTTATGTTTTTATTGTGTTGATGTGCTTGTCTCTGTTCTGTATCTGTATTTGGCCTTCTGGCTGTTGATACAGCACACTAATAATAAAGAATTTAATTTAATTTAATTACTGGGTTTCTGGACTTTGTCCATCATTCTGAACAGAATACAACATTTCAGAAACTGGTTCTGCTTTCATCCTCAGGTGAAAAAATGACAGTCGCATCCATTAAAAAAGAGCTAATCTCGGTCACTGGGCAACCGTAAACAGTCGGCTGAAACTATATAAGCCACTACAGTCAACAGTATTGTTCAGGAAATAACTTCATAATATTTGTCAAAGTGTTTCAAATAATTGACGAGATCTATGTTTTAGGTCTCTACAAATTGTGTTTTCAATTATATACTTTTTTTGAGAGATGTGATGGAGTTTGGATTGAATGTCATGTAAGGGTGTGGTTGTATTGGACCAATGCAGACAAAAATGAGATTCGTCTAACAATTTACAGTGTACACCACCAATACCAATGTTCATTGAACTTTGTCATGTAAATTTTGAAAAAAATGTGTTGATATGTTTATTTTGTGCACATCATATAAAAGTGTATAAAAATTGTTAAGTGTGTTTAAAATTAGTTTTTGAGTACTGTGGTCTCATGAATTTCTTATGCTGGAGAAGAGGTTTTGTCTAAACAAAAACACAAATGACTAACATTATTGAAAACTTTATTTACTGCGACTGCGAGATCTTTCCGGCACTCTTTCTGTTCTAGATCCATCCTTACAATTCCGTGGATTGAACTGGGTGGTTCTGTGACTATCACTTGTGCCAAAACGGGTTATAGCGCTAATGTTGAGTTCCTAACTAAACCCTTTTATGGCGGGAAGAAAAACCGCATTACAGCCGAAGTCTTCCAGCCTAATGACAAGAAGCCTTTCCTCTCAGTAACTGGAGAGTGGAATGGAGGAATGGAAGCTAAATGGGCAGATGGGGTGAGTATTTTTCAAATTCAGTATCATATTCGCTTCTTCAAATATTCAAGGCAGTTTCCTTCTATACCAGCTGCCAGCAAATTGATTTTTGTGTCTATCCAAATTTGAAAACAAAGTGTGTAGGAAGGTGTTTGGAAGGAAGTAAGTGAGCAGTTTAGGATGTTACATACCAAAGATTTTTGTAAATTTTATGAGTCAGATATGTGTAATGGGCATTGCACGGAGCTAGTGTAATCTAGACGTGTAATAGATAGAAAAATCTGTTAAGGAAAATCTCTTGGAAAAGAAGTGGAACAAGAAGAAAGGGAAGGAAATTTTAATGGACGTGACAGTTTCTTTGCATCCCCAGGTATTGTGGCTGCTGGGAGAACAGGTTTCATAAAATACAAAACTGTGATTCACAAGTTATCATTCTCTGATAGTTCAAGCAGAATCTGCCACGTAGATGTTGTGCTTTACTCTTTTAAAGAAAATTCTCTGTAGCAAGTATTTTTGCAGAGTGGCTAATGCTCATATGTGTAAATGAGTAATCTATCTGTCACAAAAAATATTTGTATGTGCAGAGAACAGAAATGTTTGTAGATGTAAACAAGATCAATGTTGTAAAGAAGAAAGTCCGTCCCATTGCCGAACAGGCTGAAAATGAATCACGAAGACTTTGGAAGGAAGTTACTGCTGGCCTCAGGTAATGTACTCAATGTATTACTAAAAGATGATCCTTTAAAGATTTATCAGTGGTTGATTCGTTATGAAATGACCTTATGAATTGTAGTCTTCAGGGAAGATGTCTTAAGTCCTGAGGATGAAGGTGGTACATTCCTCTTACATAATGGTAATCACCTATGAAGACTACGCAACGTCATAGTCCAGAACACCACACTCCACATTTTCAATGCCACGGAAACCTCAAAAAAGTCATTCGTGGAGATAGTGTTCAGATTAACACTTGAAATTAATCCAATGACACTACACTCCTACAGAAAAGTTAGTGATGTTATTATTGTAAGTGTTACGCTTTCTTGATGCAGATTACGTGGAATCTTAAAAACATGTACTAGTAGCCAGAATGACTGTTATCAAACAAATAATCTCACAATTCAATAATATAACAAATAATGTAATGTGTTGTGTACTTGTGACTCAAATAAGTTTTACCAATATTTTATAAATTATGTATAAAATATAGGCCCATCTGCCTCCCAACTAAAAATAATTATCAGACTCTGATCAAAAATCACTGGAATTGGTTTAAAATATTTATAGGCATAATTAAATAAATTATATTAATCAGAATTGTAGACTGAAGAATTTATACAATATTTGACTTTGTATGTAAATGTAAAAGAGACATGTAGAGAGTAAATATGAACATTAACTTGCAAACTATAAGTGTAATATATTAGAAACAGAAATTTGAGGCAATAACTCGACAAGAAATATTTTTCTGGTTTGTACTTGGGGTAAATGTAGTTATGTCATAATAAATGCTTCTTTTAGAATTGTTATAATGTATATATCTAATTTATCTGTCTTTCAGGTTGAAAGACATTGATCGTGCTACAAATGCCAAGTTTGCCTTGGAACAAAAGCAGAGAGATGAGGCTAAGGAACGAAAGGAAAGAGGGTTCAAATGGGAAACAATGGTAATAAACATTTGATAAGTTCCTAGTTTTTACATGATACATATGTCAGAACTGTCTGTGTCGTAATTTAAAAATAGGATGGATTCTGTGGTCGGAAAAATAATCCGTAAAACATTTCTGGTTTTCCTGTAAACAGGTCTGCTCTGAATAGCAGCAGTGACTAAGCTGTGGTGCAATATGGAAACAATGAGATTTATTTTTCAAAAATAATTACAGTAACTACACCTCGAATATAGAGTAAACAAAGCAACAACTATTAACACTATAATTGACACTATTGCCATACGCGTTTTGACCTCAAGAGGTCGTCATCAGTGGCATCAGGGAAATTAATACATTTAGTCAAATGGTTCAGACTAGATTCAGAATTAAAAATGAAAAGGTATATGACAAGATTTTTGAAGTGACACTCCACTAGATGCTGTTATTCACAGGAGTAAAACTTGCACTTAGCTATTGATCCCGTTGTTTGGTGGCCATAGCTGGTCTCGGCGAGCTATAGTTGCGTCGTCTGTACCTGCGAACTCCAGACATTGAAATAAGAGGCAATGAAGTTGTCTTTTATCTGTATTCCAGTTGTGTATTTCATACGTAATTATTTGTGTAATGACATGCGTTGTATTACTTTTGCAGCTGTTCCAAGAAGCGGGTGAAAATTGGGTGTACAAGAACCCACTGATTATGAGAATTTCACCGAAGAATAAACCAAGCAATCCACACTGATAAATCAGTACTGAGTATGACTTGTAATGTTCTGACTGACTAGTATTGTCCGTATGCCAGATGGCATTCCCTCCGAAGCCCGTCTGCTGTAAAAGAGCACTCAGATTTTCCATTAGTGCTGTGGATGGCGCTATTTGTCAGAGTTCACTGAATATTGAATGCCACTTCTTCCAGATCTGAGATATTTGATATATACACAATGATAAATCAGTTTCTTGAATGTGTTTATAATTAAAGAACTACAAATTTTTTGTGTCACAGTTAATTTTTTCTTCCTGAAAACTAAAGAGTTGTGTACGTTATGTAAGAAACATGCAATAGAATGAAAAGTAATAATTAGATTTTCAAGTCAGATAATGCACAATGGCTCAGTATTACAATTAAAATTAATTTATACATAAAACTAGTGTGAGACTTGAAAGTTGTCCAGGAACAAATTTATCACAGAAATAATTAGGATTTTACATGCCTCAACATGTATATGATACAGATCAAGAAGAAAATTATCACAAATGCATGGTCAGAGGTATTTCTATAATGCACTTCAAGGTTGATACAGTAGTAGCATGAACAAAAGGATTTCAGAAATCCGTACTTACTGTTAGATCCATTAGCTGATGTTATGCTTTATACTGGTGGTATAACTGAGTATTAGATGTCAATAAAATGATCTAACATTATCGTAATGTTACAGTATTTACTGTATATACACTAATTAATAGTTACTCGAGTACTACAACTGATTCTGTTGATCTGTATTTTCGAAAGTAATAGTTTACAGTCACAACTTCTCAAAAAAAAAATTAGTATTTTACACGTGTGATCACTTGAAAGCCTCTGAAATTTCGTATATTCGGTATTTTTAGTCGCTTTGCGAGACATTCTAAAAGAATTTACAAAGTAAAATAATCCAGAGAGACTGTTGACTTTGTTATAAATTCATGAAATTGTTACGAAAATGTAGTTGGTTTTGTCACCTGACAATAGTTTGCCTTAATAGATGACACTGGAACGAAGTAGTTTTATACGGTTATACATTTTTGTAGATGTTGCATAACATGTAAACTTTATCTTTAGTCTAGTACATTGATTCTCAGATCTCTGCTCTTGTAATTTGGAAGCTGCAAAAAATTTCTGTTTTTTACTGTTGCACGAGGCTTTTCGGATATATTGTGAAAACAGCTGTATGAGTCTATTTTAAAAAGTTAAGGAACAACAAAAATGCTAATCTCATTCAATTTATTTAATACTAATGTGTAAATATTTACATGAAAATTTTTTATAGTAAAAATAAACATAGTTCTGCTACAACAGAAGTATATAAATGAAGAAAAACAATTACAAATTTATCTTCTAGAAGAGCCAAGTTTGTTAGTAATCTGAAAGTACAAAAGCTCTGGAAAGTGTCTAATAAAGATGTTTAATAAATTCTGTTGTCCATTTTTAGTCTTTATCATGACTTGTAGCTTTATGTGTGTTTATATAATTGTATCTATGTTTAACTTTGATTATTTTGTTTCTGCAGTATGTCACATGTTTTCAATCCATTTAATTGCTTTTCGGATTGTTATGGTTCAGCAACAGTTGTCAAAGAAAGCTTTATGACTACAGGTGAGAATCATTGTGCTGGTACGTACATGACAGAAAACTGGTACAACTCTGTGATTATTTTCAGTGTTTTAAAATACTGAACACACATATACTCTCGTATTTCATACTTGTAGATAATATTTATTTCCACTGATGATATTTATGTACTGGTACACAGACATTTTAATGTCCATAGTCTCTTATACATCATTTTGTATATTTTCAGCAGTCACTTTGTAAATTGCCAGAACTAGGTTAAAATGTGCACTCACCCACATTGTACAAATGTTTGTTTGATTTTCATACAACTCATCTCTCATACTCTAGACAAAAAGATTTTATATTATTTACTATTTAACATTTTCTTTCTTGTACATCATGGGACACTGAACATTCCATTTCTCTCCTTTAAGTAACAAATTCCTTATTTTTTCCTTCCATTTAGCATTATTTTGGTGCACTGGAAGAGTTGATTTTGAAAGTCTTCCAACAATATGGAACTTTTGTGATTGTGAAATTATTGACAGAATTTGATCATTTTACAATTGAATTGTATTAAAGACTGTTGCCTTCTTTTATTTTCTGTTATTTGATGCACATGTCTAAAAATGTTTAATAAGTTTAGATATAAGGACATGGAAAGTTTTTGGAATATGAATAATGACAGGAAGTCAAGTGATATTAATAAACAAATTTATATGCATATGGGAGGTACATATTCATTCTTGTCAATTATTTTTATTTTCTTTAGATTTGCAGATTTAGTTTAATAAAATAAATTGCTCTGTATTGCCTGATTTTTAAATATTTCTTCAAAATTTATATTAACAGTGTGTTAATATTTAATTTTATAAATTTTATAACATGCTATTCAGGTGATCTGTAATCAATGAAACAAGTCAGTATGAATATATATATATAAAAATATAAAATTTTCAATTTTTTGCATTTTAGTGAGAAACATGGCATAACTTTAGTAGACCTGTTTTTACATACCATGTACAGTGTTCCTTGTTGATGTAATATTTTTGTTATGAATAAAATGCATGTGGTAAGTTAAACTTTAATTGATGAATATTAAAGATAAGACAAATTGCAGTATGTGGTTTTACACCAATATAATTCTATGTTGGAACAAATTCGCATAAAACTGACGATATCACATCTGGTTTTTGGGGCATGAGAAGGAAGTGGAATGTGCAGCCAGTGAACCTGTTAAGTGTTTTCTTTCAAAATGTTTTGCGTCCATTTTACTAAAATAAACCTGATAGCCTTGGATTCATACTGTTCGTTTATGGAGCGAATATCTAGGTCAGGTTTTTTCCCTAATGCAATTGCCAAGAAAGGAAGGAAAGAATTCCGAAGATCAACATGCCAAGTTGAAATAGTAACAAGAGTTAAAATATCTGGGAATGACAATTAAAATATACAAAACAATAATTCTACCTATTCTATATGAGTACGAAACATGGTCTCTCACTTTGAGGGAGGAACACAGATTGCAGGTGTTTGAGAATAGGGTGTTGAGGATATTTGGGCTTAGGAATGGTGGCGGTCTCTAACGACCACAGTAAAAAACGAGGAATTTCTTGGTATCTTTGTATTATTTTTTTATGAATAAAATTTTGCTTTTACCAACTCCCATCTCGCCAGATCAGTTGGCTTTCAATTTGACACGAATGCCAAACATTGCCGGTGACTACTTTCTTTGGCGTTGAAAGCCAGCACGGGAATTATGCATTAGTTATGTAATACAGAATTCTTCTCGAACCATGGATTATGTACATGGACCATGTCTTGGCAAAAAAAAAAGACTCGTTAATAGGAAAAACAATCCTTACAGCCAACGATATGGGTCTTTTTCAAATATAGAAGTATTGCTGGCTTACCATTTTCGCGACATTTCATTTTAACCATTGGCTAGCCTGTTTGCAAAGAGTATAAATGGATAGAGTGCTTTACGGAAGTAATGTGCTAGGGAATGTATGTTTTGACAGTTTCCTATGGTGGTGTGGAAGTTGTAACGCCGAGCAAATTTACTTGTATAAGAGTACCAGGTAAAGTACGCGTATGTTTGAAGTCCATTTGTAACAACTCTGTATGGTGACCACTTACGATAATATATCAAATTATATCACTACAATGAAGGCCCAGGTATATATTCCATTATGCAAAAATAAAAGTGTGACCAGTAAATCTGATTAATTATATCGATGCATTTCGTATGTTCAGGTGCCTTTATGCTGTCATTGATGATAGTTTAAAAGTAACAGTCAAAATTAATATGTAGTGTCAATTATTTTTTAGCCTAACAAAGCATACACTAGTAACAGTGGTTTGAGCTAACGAATGTTAACCGTGTTATGTACAGAAATTAATAGCTAGAACGGAACCCAAGGTTAATTTACTAATTTGAAGACAATACCTCATGCGGACTCGATGTAGATGGCATAGAACATTGTTATAATATATATTCTTGTTATAATAACTTCTGCTGTTATTTCGTGAACATATGAAATTTATATTTATAGGAAGAAACCATCATGGCTGATGTAAGGGATATTCTTGAACTGGAGAGGCCACCTACACCAGAAATAACTAAAGAAGCAATTTTAGGGTCTGAAAAAGTGAAAAAGAAGCCAATAACAACAAAGGTTTCAAAACGTCCTGAAGGAATGCACCGAGAAGTATTTGCTTTGCTTTATACTGATAACAAGGATGCACCACCACTATTTCCAACAGATACAGGTATGAATCATTTGTAACATATTAAGAAAATGTACATCTTTAAATTATTATTAGATACCTTTTGTTCTGGGTAAGAAGGGCTTAAGTCAAAGCAGTCTGTACTGACTCAAAGCGCTTCTTACTAAGCACCGAAAGTATATTCGTTGAGAATCTCATTATATTTACCAGGTCAAGGTTACAAACAACTTAGAGCTAAACTGGGAATGCGACGTGTGCGTCCCTGGAGGTGGATGCCATTTACAAATCCAGCTCGTTCAGATGGGGCTGTTTTTCATCACTGGAAGAGGATAACAGATGAAGCAAGGGATTATCCTTTTGCGAAATTTAATAAGGTTTGCACAAAATTTTGGGCGCATGTGTGATGTATCTTCGCTGTAATGATATCGGCTATAAAAATTGATACTTCAATTGTGGATTTATTGACAGCAAGTTCCAGTTCCAACTTACACGGACAACGAGTACCTACAGCACTTGCATAATGACTCGTGGAGCCGACAAGAAACTGATCACTTGTTTGACTTGTGCCGTCGTTTTGATTTACGTTTCATTGTGATTCGTGATCGTTGGGATCGATCTCGTTTTCCAGATAGAAGCGTAGAGGATCTAAAGGAGCGATACTATGACATTTGTGCAGTATTGAACAAAGTAAGTATATATATAACTGTTAAGGAGGGTCCTTGAGAAACTGATAGTCACTCTTTTGATTAAGAAATCCCCTGCCCTTATCCTGAGCCATTTGAAGCCTGTCCATACCGTACTTCTTATAAGATCCATTTTAATATTATCATCTTGTTGAAAACCTAGTTCTTGCAAAAGGATTTTTTTCTCCTATCAAAGTCTCTTAGTCTAAGTTTCAGATTGTTCATAATCAGTGATGTACAGTGTGTCCACAAAGTCCCTTCAGGGTTTTGAAAAATTGTGGCGCGCAAACAAATTGAGCTAGCCACACGTGGTTTGTGGCAGATTACAGTGAAACTGGAAGTTCTTTTACTGACCTCAGAAGACCTCGATGTGGGCTCCTTTGATAGCACGGAGAACGTCCAGACGATATTTGAGCTCTTGCCATGTTCTGTGGAGCATGTCCGCCGGAATAGCCGAGATCACATTCCTGATATGGGTCTTCCTTATTTAAAAATCAAAGTGGAAAGTGTCACTATGTCTGTATTTTAAGAATTTAAGCATTATAAAAGGAATTCTTAGATTGAAAGTTTGTGATTAACAGCTGTATCATTATGCGAAGGTCCGCGAATAATTTTCCTATATTTTTACCTGATAATGGATATAAATGTCAGAAACTTGACATAAAAATAAAATACTCTTTATTGTATTCATAATGTAATTTTATTTTGGTTTATTTGTAAAAACAATGGAGCTTTGTAATGAAGAGAAGCAAATGCCATGTGATAAACAGTTGACCTTGAAAACTAGAAGTTTACAATATAGGTAGCAGTTTGTCTATTTATCTTCAGATGACGGAGCGAATTAATTTTTCTTCACCAAATAAATCCTATATTGAGATTAAATGTAATATTTTCAGTTGAAAGCTGGTTCCAGTCATGAAACTAAGGTGTACGTGTTCGATGCGGACCACGAAAGACGACGGAAGGAGCAACTGAAACGAATTTTTGAACGAACTTCAGAGCAGGTATTAAGAAAAAAGAAAGCAGAGCGTTTATTTATGCTACATAAGAGAATGAAGTCTAATTATATGTCTATGGAGTGTCCCGCGACTTGATGTGAATACTTCACGATCGATCGGTCGATATTGGTCGATGATAAGAAATGGAAATGATATTCATAATTAATACTGGAAACACTTGTTCTTACTGAGTTCAAAAACTTTAATCACTTCATGATTTTTAAAAAAACACTAACGACAAGACGTACAAGATGGATAAAGTACGTTGGCATTTGCCGTGTCATAATTCTCATATCTTTTAAATTACTTTTCTTATTTTTAACTTGTAATTGTTGCGTTACTTGGACAGATTGAGGAAGAGCAGACTCTTATCAATGAACTGAAACGAATCGAAGCAAGGAAGAAAGAACGGGAGAAGAAACAACAAGATCTTCAGAAACTGATAACGGCTGCTGATAACCAAGCAGAAACAAGGAAATCTGAAAAGAAGCTTACGAAGAAAAAGTTACAGCATCAAATAAGACCACGTATCGATCCCAATGTAAGTGTTTTTTAGGAACATTCATTTCGACTGAATGTTTTGGTCGAGTGATTAACTATCCTGATTCATATTCGGGAGTCCCTGGTTCAAATCGTGGCCCGGGGATTGGTTGTCCTCAGTTCGTCCAGCCAAATGCTGGGATAGTATCGCTAATGAGGCGCACCTTTTTTTAATTTATTATGTACAATCATCCTTTTTTTTGGTACTGTATAGTCTTAAGATACTCGAAGCATTATTAAATAAATTATAAATAATATTTATATATAGGTTCGTCACATACGAGACCTAAAGTGTCTGTTCGTCTGTATATGCTGCTTTGATAATGATGACTATGGTTGAAAGTTTTATTAGGAGTTCTTACTAATGTCAATTTTGAATTGTATTAATCTTTCTCAATTGTGCGTCACGACTTCTACATCGACCACGACACTCACGAGGAAGTTAGGAGACTAAATTCCGGAAATGATTGCTACTTCTCAGTTCAAAATATTTTGTCTTCCCGTCTGATTTCTAAGAACCTGAAAATTAAAATACTCAAAACAATAATTTTGTCTGTTGTTTCGTATGGGTGAGAAACATGGTCTCTCACTCAGAGGGAGGAACACAGATTGCAGGTGTTTGAGAACGAGGAGGATATTTGGGCCTAAGAGGGAAGACGATGGCGGGATCTATGGGAGATAGGAGTTGAAGGAGACTGGATTTTGTTGGCCCAGGGCAGGGTCCGGTGGAGGGCTTTGGTTAATTCGGTGATGAACCTTCGGGTTCTGTAAGCCATCTGTTTGGTTGGGTCCACTATTTGGGAAGCCTGAGGGGAACAGATCGCTTTGGAGACCTAGACGTAGATGGGAGGATAATGTCAGGCGGGATCTATGGGAGATAGGAGTTGAAGGAGACTGGATTTTGTTGGCCCAGGACAGGGTCCGGTGGAGGGCTTTGGTTAATTCGGTGATGAACCTTTGGGTTCAGTAAGCCATCTAGTTAGTTAGTTGGTCGACTTCTACACCATCCAGTTATAGTATTGTGGAGTGTTCATTTCCCGTACAGTAGAGGTTACATAAACAGACATGATACAATTTTTCCTGTGAATTAGGAGTATTAAAAACTTAGCTTGTGAAATTATATGTGCTGTGCATTACAATAATTTGTATATTACTCCATGAATTCAGGTTGTGGAAACAGCCGGAATCAAGTTCCCGGACTTCAAAGGAAGTGGTGTAAGTTTACGTTCCCAACGCATGAAACTGCCTGCCAGTGTGGGGCAGAAGAGAACCAAAGCCATCGAACAGCTTCTGCAAGAACTTTTTATAGGTATTGTTGCTAAATACTTGCGTCAAAGTGACATTAAAAATGAGAAATGTTTTATCGGAAAATCGAAAGGAGTCTGTTAATGCATTAGCTGGCCAATAGAACCTTAATTTTATAGGTGAATGTAAAAACACGGCATTGCTAGAGATATCCTTCATTATTTTATCTTTTTCAAATACGAAATCGATCGTATTCGAGAATGTATCTTCGAAATAACTAAAATTAGTGCCATGTGTTGGATGTTCAAAATCAATATTAAAAAAAACAGTTCGAAACTTAAACACGTATAAACACACACTTTGTAGCCAAATTTTCTTTGTGTACAAATGTGCATGCATGTGTTCTCATCGAGAGAAGGTGAAAGGAAAATGCTTAAGTGGGAGGCTGGGATTAAAGATAGGAATGACAGGTTAAGTTCTGGAAGACGTCTGAGGCTTTGATTGAGGTTCGAAACATCTTCCTTTTTACGGTGCAAGGTTGTTAGCCTTGCGACCAACCCCCAACCTGGAGGACCAGGGTACCTGTCTTAGTCCGACCCCTCTCCCTCGACCAATCTGGCTAGGGAGGCTGTACCATAGCTATGCTACCGCCAGCATAGCTCTTGGGGTCATCGAGGTACTCAAGCCACACCACCACGACAAGGTGCAGGTGTTAATAAAATCTTTTTCTTCTTCTTCTTCTTCAGAATTGAACCCAATGCCAACAGAAGACATATGCGTACACTTCAATGAGCTACGTAGCGATATGGTCCTGCTTTACGAGTTGAAGACGGCACTAGCAACGTGCGAGTACGAGCTGCAGACTCTTCGCCATCAGTACGAGGCTTTGAATCCCGGGAAGGTCAGTGGTACCAGCAGCTAATGTAATTCTTCTTCTTCAGCAATTGCAGCAATCAGATGTAGTACCAGTTTTAGTGGATTTTTGTTCTCTCTGAAATAGAATAAAGTGATATTTTAGTACCTGGTTGAGTAAAATTATCTAAACACTTTAGATTATTAAGTGAATGGTTTTAATATTATACTGATACTCATTCTGATGCTAATGTTGTGTAATTGTAAGCAATCGTTGATTGTTAATGTCGAATGAATATTTTGTGTTAACATAAGATATTTTAGTGAATAGTTATATCAAAGATATAAATGGGTATCAGTTTTTTCAGGATCTAGTGAAATCGATTAAAATATATATATATGCTTCTTGTTATAGCGTATAAATATTATATTTAAATATGGTAGGTTTAGAGTCACTGTTCCTATAATATACTCGTGTTATTAATTTTAGATGTGCTTCGCTCAAATCATAATTAATTAATGTATCTTGTTGTATGAAAGATTTGAAGTATATCAAAAGAAATTTTTCCTTATACAATATTATTTCTGTATTATTTTGTACTGAAAAATGCGAGCACAAAAAATATTTAAATAGACTCTACCAATGTTATTTACTCTAGGGGTCCGTATCTTGTGTTGTTCAGTATATTTTAAGAAGCCATGTTTTTTTCTCATTTAAGTTAGTGACAGAACACTTTAAAAAACATTGACTTGATAAGTTGGAAATTTGTGAGTCGTAGTATATAATGTGTCCCGCGCCGTAGCCGCATGGTCTGAGGCGTCGTGCTTCGGACTGGCGATACGGAATGCGCGCCAGTTCGAGTCTCGGGGAAAGAAATTTCTTGTGAGATTTTCGACCGGTGTATGGGGCCGGTGCCAACCCAGCATCGTGAGGAAATTGGGGAGCTACGATGAGTAGCGTAATCCGGTCATGAAAACTAGCGATGGCTGGGGGTTCAACGTGCTGACCACACGTCACCCTATATCTGGTTGGATGATCGTTCACCTCTGCTTAGGCATGTGAACGTGAGGCCAGGAGTCCGCTAGTCGGCTTAGGCTCTCAGAGGGATGTTACGCCACGGAAAAAAGAAAAAAATAATAATGTAACCTTTATGTATTTGTGTTCTAAAGTATTTCCGATAGATGTTGGTGCAGAATGTGTTTTGGTTTTCTTCACACTAAGATTTTTATTCTCGGGCATTCTGCGTAAGGTTTATAATTCTTTGTAAGGCGTAATTTGTAGACACTTCTGATGAAAATCGTAGAAGACGTGGTCTTTTATCGCACTGAAAGATGTATGTAAATTCTCATTTATGGTTAGTGTATAATTGTGTGACGTACTTGAAGGGTTTATTGCGTGAGTTTCTTGCTCGAAACCAATATGGACAAAACTGGTTAGTCCCAAACAGAAAAGAGTCAAAGAAAGGTATTACTAATTATAATATTTCAGATATTCATGTTTTTTTTCATATTAGACTAGCGTGATCTTGAAATATAAAATTATATTATAAGTATATACGTGAACACGTACTGTATTGTGGGGCTACCAAGATGCATATGTACCATGTAATGTATCTTTAAGTTAAATATTAGCTATAATTTTAGTCTTGTTTTTGGATTTTAATATAGAAGAATTAATGGTTAAGTGTGCAGTTTTATTATTTTGGTATCACTTCTTATTGCTTTTAAGTCATCAAAAACATTAGTTCAGTTTTCAAAGACAATCCTTGTCCTTTGCAGAGCTAAAGATTTTTCTTATAAAATAATATTGACCATTGTTTGAGTTGCACCCGGAGAAGACGTGAACGAAATTCAGCCATTTTTCAGTGTGCGAGCGGAAGCAACCTCTCGACATTTAATAAGAGCTGCAGAATTTACGTATTTTTTCTACAGTTGTATTTGTCCTTGACTTCCTGTCTTCAGTAGATACCTGTGACTTGCACCTTGTTTTGTAGATCTTTGAAGGTAAGATGCTTGTATTTTTGTGTGGCTTGCAATCTTTGCTCGTGATAGATGTGACAATAATTATATTGCCTCCTCGAACTTTTAGCTTCTGCATTTTGCTTTTGTGATACGACTTATAGCTACTAAATTAAATACAAGGGATATGAATTTGAATAATAGATTTTCAGAAATTAATATTGTGCTTGCATAGTCAGTCTCGGATAAAACATTTACTGGTGCGTTCCATACCGTCAATTAGTCATCTTAACAAAAAAAAATTTTCCTTAATCATTTCATACATGTTTCTACATGTCTGAAAATCTTTTATCTCATTTTCAGACTAGCATGATGCCTGTTGTTAATTATTAGTCATGTCAGCCTCGCATATGTAGAAAATTATGATGAGAGTGAAAGTTCTACTTATATCTAAACTCGGCTCAGGTTGAAGGTTTCTGTCTTCTGGGTTGTTGCGCTGTGTAGTCTGGTCGATGTTTACCAATGTTTCATCACCCTGATGACTGATGGCAGAGGCAGTATGACCTCTGAAACCTTTGTAAACATTGACCAGATTACACAGCACAACAACCCAGAAGACAGAAATCTTCATACTCACCGCTGTGAAAACCTCAAATCTTACATTGGCTCCGGTTCTTTGTGTTTTGTTTCTGTGTGTTGCATGCCTTGTTACCAGGAATAGATGGGTATTAGGAAATTCATGTTATTAAATGTTTCTGGTGAATCATGCTTGTACTTCAGGAAACAATTTTATAATATAAACATTTGGAAAGTATTAAAATGTGGTATTTGAGGTTCTCATGGCAGTGAGAATGAAGATGGATGTCTTCTGGGTTGTTGGTTGGTGGAATTTATGAACATTGCAGAGGTCCTTGCTACCTGATTATAGTTTTCTTCCCTTTAACATGTTGCTTGTTTGCTGTAAAGATGTTAATTGATGAGATGGTGACAATGGCATGTAATAAAAAAATATTATTTGGCGTCGTCATTATCCGGAATTGAATTTAAAGCTTCAGCTTCAGAATTAGTTTTTATCTAATGATGATGGTTCATGCGGGATGTTGATATATTGTTTTTCACAGTTTGCATTTTGTTTTACTATCATCATCTCATCATTAAGACAAATGTGTCTATTAAAAGTATTAATAATCAATCGCTTTTCTATTCATGTAATCATTTATTGAGTTTAGTTCTCCGTACGGAAGACTGTATCCACCTAACATAAGTTTTTATATCCATAGCTTGAAAATAACTCTGGTAGTTCTAATCTCTTACTATACAATATTTTTTAATGTAATTGATTCGTATTATTAACAGCTTATGGAATTTGTACCTGATAGAGAGAAATGCGAAATGTGTTTCCGAGAGGTTTCTATCCATTAATTATACTCTAGTGTGCCAGGTTTGTAACTGTGATATTCCGTAATCCTCTGTTTTGCATTCAACACTAATTTTAGATAGCTAAGTTATGGGTGCCCCCATACAAAAGGTCAGTTTTTCTGTTTATCTTTTCTTGCATTGTTCTGTTGTATAGTTATATTTCTTTTATAAGTCATTAATAAAAGCAATTTATAATTTACTCATTTTGACAGACTTTTTGTTTGCTTTAATTCCCATTGAAGAGTATTAGAGCTATGCTTGCTAAGCGTATCATCTGTATACAGTTTTGATTCTTTTGCTTAACACGTGTGGTTAGTCGTGTATGCCGAAAACATCGTAAACTATGTTAGTCTTACTGTGAAGAGAAGTGTTTATTGATAGCAAATGGCTGACATTACTTTGTAAAGTGGACTAAAATTGACTTACATGTAGAACAAGTAATGTTGTTAAATAAATGAAGAAATGAACAAAAGTATAGGATCATAAGTTAGGTGTACGTCGCACCTCGTTCCTGAATTTCTTTCTTCTTTCAGACCTTGGTGGTCCCCACTTCCATCTCGGGGAACAGGGAAGCACCCCAAAATTATGTTTCCGCAGAGAGTGACACCACAAGACAGAAAGGAATCTCCGAGATCATAGATGTAGTGGGTTCTCCAGGCACTCCTAACCTTACATGAATGTTTTTGTGCTTGTAAGTGCACTGATGAATAAAAGTTTTTCTTGTAGTACACTCTTGACATGCGTAATCCTTTCTTGACCACTTGTTTTGAATAACTGCGGCATTTGCCAACTTAGTGGTTTGTAACAAAGTTTTCATTCAACCCGGTCATGAGTTTATGCAAACGTTTCTTTGGTCTATCCAGTTACATTTTTGTGAATTTAGGATATTCATTACATGCTGCTTGCTGTCTTTGGCTGTCATTGAAGTAATTAATATTTTATAGTCCTGATTTTTGATTTTCCAAATTCATAACTACTGTAACCTTGACAGTTAAGATAGTGTGATGAATTAGGTGATGTTCTATGGACATGTATTCATTGTGTGTATTAAAGTAGTAAAACTGAAAGCCCAACTCCCAGTGATCTGGTATTGTGAATCAAAATATATTATTTCATATGATTCTGAGTAAACAAAAATTATTTCCTTTAACAGCATTAACCAGATGGTTTTTGTAATGAAGAAGTATTGTGTTCTCTTTGAGGTATGGAATGAATTCTTAACTATTATTCAGATGAGTTTCAGCTTAAAAGGGTTGTTACACAGCATGTTATTTCTAATGCATAATTATTATCCAAAATTAAGTTTACAGCTTATTAATATAAATAGTAATATCTCAAACCCTATTATGTCATATGAGATTATATTCCATAAACCCTGTTTTTAACCCTTTCACTCTTAGCAATGAAAAGTATCTTGGTTATATAAATGTTAGTAAAATATTCACCCAGTTTTTGGAATTTGGACGTCATTTAAGTATTGTGTTCTTAAACATATAATTTACTTATTTCATCTTTGGAACTCACTTTATGCCCAAGATGTTTATTTAGTACATTTCTTATTATTGCAGCATTTCTCGAAACACAGATTTAGTGCTGTAGCACTTTGCGATTTTTACAATCTAGTAATGTGGAGGAACCTACCCATTGCCTAATTGTATTAATTAGTTTTAAGACTATCGTTTTGCATACACAAACACTGTATGAACACTATGGACACATATATTCGGTTTATGTAACTTGTTTCTTTCATGTGTTGAAACCATTCATGTATTTTATGAACGTGAATCTGAAAATACAAAATGAAGAAGAAATATGATGTAACCAGAAAATGTACCACATCATAAAGTCTTTCTGCATTTCTGAAAGAGAAGGTATGATGAGGCTTCTTCAAATGAAACCAGTTCACACATTGTTCTGGGTGAAGGAGTCGATGCCATCGAACATAACCTGTGCCGGTGCTGAGGTAGGCAGCCTATTGAAATGCCAGATGATGAATCCACTACACAAAGGACTCCCTGGGCTGTTACTAGAACCTTTGCAACCTAGAGATCTTGTTTGGCCCTTTCATACTATCTTGAGGGGGACAAGCATGTGGAAGTCACATGATGTGACACGTGTGTTCTGGATACTGCAGGTCATGCAACATGATGACACCCCTGAGAGCATGTTGGGTTGATTTTGCTTGATGATGTAAACACTCAGCACAAAGAATGGGAATGACAATTGGTTGGTCCTGTTTGGAAGAATTCTATTGCACAGCTTGTGGTAGACTACTAATGTTTGATGCATACAGCATGTTGACTAGCAGTGCCACCATCAGGTTTCAGTTTTTAACCTCATAGTTTCAGATGATGATCTTTGTGTGAAGAAGTAATATTTGAAATTACTGAACAGAATGGTTAGTGCTTATGCTTTAAGCTTTCTTTTGGGGAGGTACATATCTCTTAAGGCAAATATTATGGTAGTATCTTAAAACAGGACTTCCTCTCAAGTCATTATTTGGAATTACATAGAGAAGATTGGTTTCCTTTATGCTCCCACCAGCATTAATCAAAAGGATGGTAAAAGTCCAGGACAATTTATGACATGGTGGTAATGAGTAGAAGACAACCTCCAGATGTACTTTCAGATATTTATTTTGTTGGCTATCTGTTACGTAGCTATATAGGTTATCAGTGTTCAAAACAAAAGTTAGCATGAAGAAAAGGATATTGACATTACAGTATATTACATATATTTGTAAATAAGGTTGCTAGGCATTGAATATGTATGTGATTGTCCTGTGTATCATCTTGATAGGTCTGTAAGTTTGCATAATTTTCCATATTAGTGTTAGATTATTCTATTAAAGTTTATGAGACCAAAAATTACATTTTGTCTGCCACCTCTTTTTTCCTTATATCTTTTAGTATTGCAATTCTTGGCACACTTTTACGGACAGACAGATCTGAACCTGATTCATCAATTTCATTGTAATACAGCCAACTAAACACCACGTTTTTATGCGATAGAAAGTACTGAATTGAGGTTAGTGAACTCTGTATGGCTTACATAAAGTTAGGCAATTAAATCGAGAAGAGGTGAGCCGTGTTAATTCAGAATGATGGAAACAACAAATACATATACAGTTTTCCTGGCAGTCTTGGAAAGCAATGACAAGTGG